ATTGACCCCAACTTTTATATCATGGTTAGAAAAAGCATGAGTTGGAGATATGATTTCATGTCTCATTTGACCCTCAATTGACTCATGACGTCATCATAATGGCCTCCGAACTCAAAATTTCAATTTGCATATTATGACGTCATCATATTTTTGGAAAATTGATTGTATCTTTGTAAATATTGATTAATTTTCTTCCAAATTTTGATATGTTCTACCTGAGAATATTGTCTACAAATGCAGTCACCACGATATTTCATTTTGACAAGGGCATCATGGCGTATTTTCGCGATTAAAGGAGGCATGTCAATTTTTCACATTTTGCGTGTATTCTCTATGGGACATGACTTTTTCTGAAAACTGGATTCTACATTCTCGTCTGTCGCGAGCAATATCTCTGTCGTTTTATCTTTGTTTACGCTGAGCTTTGAGTATGTTGTAGCTGAGACAATAAGCTATCACAAGTGTGCCATTTATTTCTCGATTAGATGACGGGATCATGCTCATATTTCACTTGCAAAGTGGGATTTGAGAATTTCATTTTCCGTTTACGTGTATTCTCTATAGGAAATGTTTTGGTATATCGGTAACGCGCTTGACTTCCGACCTCGAGGTCCCTGGTTCGAGTCCGGGCGTCTCCAACAATTTTTTTTTTTTTTTTTTTCTTTTTTGACTTTTCAATGATCATGAAAATTGAAAACAGACCACCTAATTCGTCACCATGACGAATTCAATTTCTAGTATTTTAATTGAATTTGTACAAAAACACAATTCAATTAAAATAAATTTGTGACCACTCTTTTGTGTGCACGATTACTCAAAATTGAACCGTCCAATTTCTTTCAAATTTAACACAGTCATAGGTCATCTTCTTAAGACGTGACAGGAACATTTTCAAGTTCATCAATATATCGTGACGTCATCCAGGCGCCATTTTGTGAAGTGCTCTGAGAATCAACTCATGATCATATCTTCATAACCGTAAATTATTTCTCATTCATATTTATAACGATTATGGTCAATATCCGTCCGGTCAACTTAAGGTCAATTAACGCGCGCGTACGCGTCCGTCCGCGCGTCGGTGCGCGCAAAAAAAAAAAATGCTCATAATCACTTTTTGATCAAATTAGAGTACGTTTTAGGCCATTTCAAGCATTTCGAGAATTTTGCGTGCGCACACCTTTCCGCACGCAAAAATTTGCGCGCACGTTCTTGTTCGTAATGGTCGAACGCAACCTTAAATAGTCATTTTTTGTCTATCATAGTATTTCCCATTTTTTTTCTCGATCAATTCGATACCATGTTTATCTCTTTATGACCATTAATACGGAAATGAGCGTCCGTTTAAGGTAAATGTCTGTGCGTGCGAGCTCTTGTAATACATAGCATATATGGTCAAAAACATGCCTATACAAAATACATTATAGCTCTTTAGGATGCAAGTTGACCCCACAATTTTTTGCGTGTCAAACTAGTGAGAAATAATCGAGCCAGTTGTAAATAACATCGCGCACCAGCTGCTGGTGACAATGACAATGTAATGCGCACCATGCACGAACTCTATTGTGACGTCACAATCAGACCCTTTGCACACTATTTGCAGTGTATCGAAATTTCGTCAAGCACTGGATGCACAGTGCTTGTTTGACGATGTTTTTGCAACTTCTAATGCTAGGAAATCCTGTGGAGTGTAGGCTACATAATTTATAAGATAGTAATTTATAATTGATAAGATAGTATAAGATAGTAAGAGTTTCTTGTTTGCTCTAGATATCTGATGTGGTTAATAATAGTAATATTTACTGGCTAATTCAGGGCAATACGACTTGCCATATATCATCCTCACCTTAGGTTCAGGCGATATACGTCATATTGCCCAGAAGGCAGTCAATATTACTTAATTATGCATCATCATAATTGCTCAATATTTCGTTCATCAGTTCAGCTCATCAGTTTAGTTCAGTTCATCAGTTCATCCGTTTAGCTCATCAATTCAGTTCACTTTTACATCAGTTCAATTTATCAGTTCATGAGTTTATCAGTACTTCATTCATCAATTCATATATTAATACAATAAATACATCATTTTACATTAACATAATTTCATGGGGTAATTAAATTGAAGATGAGCATGATCATAAGAATTGAAGACAGACCACCTAATTCGTCCCCATGACGAATTAAATTTCTAGTGTTTAATTTATTTTCATCAGCTTAACAATTGAAATGTATATACGGTATAATTGTATTAATATTTATCGTAAATACAATATATAATCTGATATAATCCTCCCTCTCTCTCACATGGTGCACCCGCAAGCCTACTGTATAATCTGATTTTGTTTTCCATTGCGTTTATCAATATATCCATTGCCCCAGCATTCAATATCTTTCTTTCTAGACATTCCTAGAAACTTGTCTCTGAAGATAATATCAAAAAGTAACGTAAATTTTCTTCCTATTAACCTTACAAAACATTTTATTCCGTACGGAAACATTCAATATGAAATTATAGACATGCAGTAGACAATCAACTTAGGACATACCAGTTCAGAAATAGCGTAATGGTAAACAGTTGAACTGAAAACAAACAAATATCTCTATAGGCCTATTTCTGTTTCTGTTTTTCAAGAACAACTATCCGAATGAAGTGTTATTTATATTGGTTTTAAATTCAAGCGACTATTTCAAATGTATCAAGGTTGTTTTATAGACGTATTATGTACTAAGTACTTACCTTGATTTCGACTAATGTCGTATTCTTCAAAAATGTTGCCTTCTCATGGTCTGCATTTGACAAGGTCTCCTCCATTTTTACAATGGTCGTCACCCTAAAGTGAAATTCTTTCTCATTTCATTTCATAAATTATAGCAGTTCATTCAAAACTGTTTCCAAATATCTCCTCAGTGAGACTCTGTATATTCCATTTAAAATCTCAGTGGAAAGAAGAACACGACAAAACGACAGAATCACTTTTTTTCTAACGAGGTTTCATTTAAACAGAGCCAGAGTCGCGGCGTTGTATTAATGCGCTAAGTGATGTACCTACAAGTTGATGCCAATTCAGCTTAGTTTTGTTTAATCGCAAATGAGTAGCTGTCATGATTAGTGATAAAAGATCCAGCCAGAAATCCAATATCGCCGTAGAAACGGATAACCCTAAACAAGCGATGCAGATACCTAGCAAGCTAGCAATGCGCCAAACACAAATCCGTTACACAGTTAATGGGTATTATCACCTAAAAACACCTGCAGGTTTTTTTTTACTCGAACGTACGCATACGGCTCCTTGATTGGCGTAAATTTACAATTGGTGAAAGTGCACTTTATCCTCCCGTTTATATGGGACATGCTATCAACGAGTCAACATGAAATTGTTGAGTTTAACGATTTTGATTCGCCCCAAGGAAAAGCTAATCCAAAAGAGACATGCATGTATATGTGTATGGATGGGAAGGCACCATATGTTTCATGTTGACCCAAAATATACAAGGGCAGTGAAAGTGAGAACTAATAAACTGAAATGAAATGAACTGTTGAAGCTGAAATAGGTTTGGTTTGTAAGATTCTGTTTTACATCAGAACATACACGGGAGTTTACACACAATATTATAGGATTAAAAGACAAGTATTACTCGACCCACAAGTCAAGCCTGTCCAGTCTTCACTTTCATCTTCTTTACAATACAAATTACGAGATATATCTTTAAAAAATTATGTATGACTCGATAGCTTATTCCATTCCATCCTAGCAACTCCCATTTTTAAATCTTCATTTGAAATCTTTTTAGTCACTTTCGTGCGTTATTTTCATTCTAGTAGGCAGAAGTACAATATTTTCGCCCGACATCTTGAAATAGTTGTATGATATATCAAAATATATATTTATATTGATGCGAGCCACGCCCTCACCCCCCCCCCCCCCACCCCCACTTTCCTCATTCATAAAAGACAGGTCGGGGAAATATTAATCGAAAAGAAAGTTTAATTCATGAGTTTCAAACTATTTTACTCCTAATATATACTTTGGTTATGATTTATTGCATTAAAGCAGTCTCCCTATCATAAAATAGAACAAGGTTTCTATTTATTTATTACTTCATCTATGTTTAAAGATATAAAAAGCAATAACTTACGTTAACATATATTGCAAGGTCATAACACATGAGCGTTGCCATGTCAATAGAGACTCACTCCAGTATTTTAAGCGATACGAAGTGATGAAGCACCCACTCCGTGCCTTCCAATCCAACTTCCTCGCACCGAGAGTCGGTTGTGACTGGTTGTCATGGTGACGCCGGACTGAAGCAGGTGTCGAACTTCCCAGATGATGTTGGAGTGTACTAGGCAACGGAAGCAACATTGATGACGGTAGGCACGGGGCAGACGCTTGACATCGATTATTGGGGGTTGCAAGGGGACAATCCTGAACAGCTAGGGGCATAGTTGGGGGATGGAACGCCCCCTTTCCTGTTAGTATGGCCAATTTTTTTTATATTAGAGGCGACCCGGGCGTCTACAAATTGAACGGTGATCACAGCCTCACAGTTGCCGATAGAATATCAAATGTATCGAATAAGATATCTGTAAATATCCATATTGGGCGGTGAAAACTGCCTCACTTGGCAATTTATAATGTTGTAGTTTGTACTCCTTGCATGTTCGTTTTTGTTTGTATATTAGCTTATATAAATGTAAGCAGTGTAAGTAAAATACATGCTATAAGGACCTGGTCCCCGTTTTCCCTTCTTTGAAAAATATATTTGAACTAGACAGCAAACTTAATTCGACATCCCATCCACCCTTCGAATAAAAATCTTCCAGCGACGCCATCACATTGCTTATATGTAATTCATCATCATTGTAATTGATCTGATGACTACTATTTGAATTATAAATGGTGATTTTTTTGTTGTTGGGTTATAATCCTGTATAAAAAGGAAATCATATTGCCCGTGTGATTTAGGTGCGATGAATAAATTTACAACCGTCAACTCTTAGTGTCGGCTACAAAAGCATAGTGCATCTAATAGAGTTTGAGAAAGCGATTTTGTGACCTCATTTCATTAATGTGTCATTGAAATTGAAATCAACACAGGTCAATACTATGTAATGAATGAACAAAAACATTTTTTTATAGACACTACAAAGCTATCCGTCATAAAAGTAAAGTAATGTACAAGATTCACGAAAACGACACGTTAATCATGATACAAAGGTATAGTATCCGTAAATGTTTCAGTTGCTATGCAATAAAATTTTATTTCCATGCTCATGACAACCTCACGACAAATGTTTAATGTACATAATATATAAAAACTCTTTATAAATTTTTATCAACAGAATATAGTAAAAACGTTCTTTGAAAAACAGACAACATGATAACATATATTTCTATACAAATAACGCACCCCGGTATGTTTACTTCGAGAGGTCAATACACTCCATGACAACAACAACAGCAAATTGCTGAGATTAAATACATCATCGCAGTATGTAATCAACAAACGGCTATTTAAAAAAAAAAAAAACGCTTTGTGTCTGATTGTATTTGGATCGTAACTGTAGCTTCATACTTTCGGAGGAAAAAGTTTGTTGATTATTTTTTTTCAATAAAAATGTAAATCGTCACAGTAGAGGAATATTGAAATATAGAAAGTTTACTGTTTTTACTGCTGATAGTGTTTTCAAATATATTTACAAGATGACACATTTTCAAAACAATAATCCACGTATGAAAGCGACAGTTCGAGGGCATTATGAACTAAAAATGAATCCTGATCAAATATATTTAGGCTTCATGAATTGTAAATAAACATACATGCCTCCCTATATGTTTCAGCTATAATTCTGTTTATATTAACTGCATTTAATTGAAAAACTATATGAAGTGCAAACTTCTATCACGTGTTTTAAGTGTGTCTGGAATCAAGCACCAGTGTTTCTGACTGAATTACCGGACAGTGAAAAATAAATCATAGTAAAACATCAATGTAACATTATGTTACCCCAATCAGTCTAAAACACAACATCAATCTTTTTTTAATTACTGCACATAAAGCTGTAAAATCTACTATCCAATGGTTTTAACAACATACCAATTACTGGTATGCACAACTTCAACAAAAGCTTAAACATGTTCCCTACTGCTTGAGTTGATGCTAATAGCTAAGAAACAAAGTAATTTCTTTCTTAAGTTATGTTTTATATATAGGTGGAGAATATTTTTTAGATGGGAGCTATTGAATTGATATCTCTCAAAATAAACTTATATTCTCATTCATTCATGTCATCTCAAAAATAGTTTAACTTTTGGCTATTCTAGCATAAACATGATGAAATACAAATACCGGTAAAGCAGGTATCACACATTAAACTATCCGTTTCTTGCTTCTCGACATGTGAAGGTCCTGACATATCTCCAAATACATGTGTACATTAATTCTAAAAATTAATTAAAATCAAAAGTGTACTAGTCGGTTCAAAGGTTTCACACACAACATACATTAGATAAATAATTTTAGTGATATAATTCAAAATATCAATTTATCTACACCTACAGTTTTATATTACATATTAGAAAACATTTTGCTTTAATTCTTTCAATTCAATAATAAAGGTAAAACAAAATACTGGCATGACATTATTTCAGAGGTCTTAAATTCTAGGTAAAGATCACACATTAGTATGAAAAATACACTTTGCCAATATATAATAACAAAATACAGTCACAGTCAAGAACCAAAAGATAAATGATGACCACTGAATTCTTAATATCAATCAATACAGTAACTTAAAAACTACAGTTTTCTGATTTGAGGCGTAATGCTGTAAGTATCTTCTGCTTTTTTCTTTTTTTACTAAGGGGAGTGTTATGAAAACATGTTTTTTTAATAAAATTTACAAAACAAAACTGTTACCATAAACTGAGTGGCTCAAATTTGATGTTATAAAAAAAAGAATTATTCACATAAAAAGTGGCACTAGTATTGGCAAGATTATCTTTTTTGAAACCCAGAAAGACTCTTTCATCTAAACCGAAATTTACCTGTAGGGTCTTTGCTTACCTTTATCTTACACTTAATATTCTTAGCACTCATGTAAAAACGGCACCAATGAGATTTGTGAGGAACACAGAGGTAATTCTGAAATGCTATGAGGTGATGGGTCAACTGATACCTTGAACCACAATGAAGTTATATGAATGCAGAATAGAGAGACGGTACCATGTGGCTAGGCAACTACAAGATAGTGGCATATAACGGTACATGTATTTACTAGAAAAATCTGTATCGCACCATTAAAGCTATCTGCAGTGGTGTTGACATGACTTCTGGTACTTAAATTTTCAAACTTTCACTGCATAACACTGATTATAGCCTCATTTGCATAGCGCTTAATAGTACATTACTAATTGTAATTATTATAACCCGGTCATTGAAATCAATTTCTAATCCTCACATTATACTGCACACGTTACGCACCCTGGGTAGTATATTGGCCATGCGCCATTTTACTAGCGCACACATGCCAATTCAACCCAATTAACGTTCGCATCCTACAGGGTACCCGTTTAACACCTGGGTGGAGAGTGACAAAATGTTGATTAATGTCTTGCCAATGGACATTAGTGCTGTGGTGGGACTCAAACCGCCAACCATGTGATCCACAGTCCATCGACATATCCACTAGGCCACAACACCTCTACAAATGCTGATACAAATGCTGATACAAATGCTGAATTACCATCACCTTTATATGCAAACACTTCATGCATATTCCCATCAACTATGCTTTTGAATGGTGCGGTACTGGAAGAATACATCTTTATTCAGGAGGAATTTACGATGCTTAATTCATTAATTATTTCAAGTTTCACCTTCTGTCACTGGATTTTACTCATCTCTGCTTAGTACCAAGATACATATAAAATTTTCTTTACCATTCTATTCTTTCTTACTGTTATGTTGTTTGGGAAATATGTACCTTCAAAATATTCCACAAACACCTTTTAATGTAAAATACCGAGAACCTTGCAATTGTCTATGAGCACATCATACATCTTAATATTCAAGATGCAGTCTTGAAAGTATCTCCCAAGAATCTAATAACATAAACCTGTTCACCTAATTCAGTTTTTTTAGAATTACCAACTGTGAATTCTTTGTATTACAGAGAGATTTCTGCTATATATTTCAGCCTTTCATAAAGAAAAAAAACATCATCACACAGCCAATAACACTATATACATACAAGTATATCAAAACAACCATGCTTGAAAATAATCTCTGTATGCTAGGTGAATACAAGAAGCACTCTGCAAGCGTCATCCATGGAGGTGATATGTCCGAAACATCTTATCATGAAAATACAATGAGTTCAGGGACTGATGCTCATACATCTACAAAACAGTGGAACTTGCCTTAGTGAAAACCGGTAAAGAAAGACCACTGGCCTAAAACAAGAGTTTTATACCTCTGAACAGAGTGTCTTCTCATCATCATTTCTCCTGTTTGAGACGTGTATAAAAAGACAGACAGTCTGAAAAAAGATTGATAAAGACCACTTTTCAAACCCTTAAACAGTGTTCTGATTGAAACCTTTACATAAAGGCCACCTGCTCATATAGACCACTTTCCTTGCCTCCTTTGAGTGGTAATATATATATCTATATATAGATTTATCTTTATTGGAGCTTTTAGCCCCAGATATTCACAGGATATAATCGTCCATCTATAAATATTCCTATGAGTTTGACTCCATCATAAAGGTGATAATCCTGAGAGATTGCTGAAATACTATAGTCAATCATCAATCAGCTGCAGTAATAGGCACCAATGGCTGGGTGGCAGCATATTAGCTTTGTCAAGAATGCTGAAAGAAAGATGGACAAAGAAAAAAACAGTATGCTAAGAGTTTGGTCTGACATGAATTTAATTTAATTTAATTTAAAAAGTTAGTCAAATTTATGGGCTTTAACCCAAATTCGAGTTTTCTGGCCAAACTACATATACAGTCAAACCTGCTTTAGAGACCACCTGCCTACAGGGACCACTTCTTTTGTTTCCCTTGAAAATGGTTTTTCATTGAAACATGTACTAAAGGAACATGTACATAAAGACCACTCTTGTCTCCCTTGGGTAGTCTTTATAGACAGGTTACACTGTGTGGTTAAAAGAAAAAACAATTATTAATTACATTGAAATCTCAATTCTCAATAAGTTACACCATGTAACCGAATATTAAAAATGCATAAACATTACACTGCCATTTGCTTTCTTCCGAAAAACCTAATTATATAGTGTAACATATCTTTTTTTGTTAAGTACTACGTAAAACCCATGTTCATTTCGAAGTTTTAGCCGACCATAACTGGACTACCGCAGAAGAAGAGAAGAAAAGAAGAACTTGTGATTACTTACCACAGAGCTTGTAGAGTGGGCTCGTTTTCTCTTCCAGCAGTCGGGATGAATCTTCTTGTGTTCATCAGCAAGATGCTTGGCCTCCTGAGAGAACACTCTCCTCTCCTCTAGCCTCATCTTCTTCCATTTGGTACCAAGGATGACGCTGATGGCTCTGAGATGGGAGGTTATCGGAGAAAGTAATGTCAAAATAGGGATTACATTTAGCATCGCACTTTCGGACGTTATCCAATGAATGCTATTGTGCATAGACTCTAAAAAAGGGTATCCATTTGTTTCCCCTGTCTTACAAAGATTTGATATCAATCGCAACTTATTTGAGATTGATATCAATAGCAACTATGTACACAAGAGATAGGAAACTGCAAACTTCAATTGATTGGAGGACTTGCGATTGATTTGGATCAATGCAACTCTTTATAAGACAGTGTCCTGTATTATAAAATAATACAATGGCTATTACTTCTGGATAACTACCCCCCTCTTTGAGACAACTACCATCCAACTTACCCTGCATAAATACCCCAAAGCAGAATTACACCCAGACAACTCCCTCCTTAATAGTTGCTCTAAAAACAACTACTTAGCTTAGATGAAGGTTGCAGTCAGCCTCCAGACCTAAATTCTTGATTCACCATGAATCGAAACAATGAACAGCAATATTGTTTGAAGTATATCATACTATACGTGTGACAAATGTCAACTGTGATAACACCCTGTTTGTTCAATTGAAGGCCTGTTTCACAAAGCCTTTTTTCAATGACAAATGACAAAAATCAGTGACAAACCCAGCTCTTGATAACCAATCAGAAGCAAGACTTTCAGTAGCTTACAACAAAAACTGTCATTTGTGAACCCGCCCCCCCCCCCAGGGTCCCGTCTAATGAAGAGTTGATTAATTCACATCAATCAAATGTCTTCTAAACAATCACAAGTTTGCGGTCCCCTATTTCTTATGTACATAGTTGCGATAGATATCAATCAATGCGATTTATCGCAACTGTTTATAAGACGGGGCCAGAGCTGGTAAAGGGTTGACAAGAAACCATGGTAACTTCATGCATAAATGTCTGTTACTTACCTATTGTCCTTATCAGGATGCTGCTGGGTGTACTCCAGCCTGAATTTCTTGGCAAAGAGCATGAAAGCATTCATGGGTCTCTTGCCCTTCTGGTCCACCAGCTGGAGCTTCTTCATCCCCTTGGAAGGTGATGATGGGGCGCTAGCGCTACCTCCAGGAGATAACTGACAGGAAGAGGAGACCGGTGACGATGGGATCTGTCGCGTTGGGCTGTTCTCTAGATCCTTACGGTGTCTGGCCATGCTGCTAAGGGCAAGAACTGCCGCAGAGTCGGAAGGAGTAAGGTCATAGCTGATGTCCAGAGAGTAAATAAGAAAACAATGTAAAATTCAGTTTTCTTCTAATACTTCAAGAGGAGAATAAGAATACAAAAGAATGATATAGCGGAGCAATTCACTGATATAAATTGAGCAATGAGTCAATGACCTTTGATAAATCACCATTTATTAAATATCCACAGAATTTTGAACTGTCTATCCAACCTTATCTACAAAAAATATTTTGTAAAGCGTCCCTACTGCACTACATATAGCTACTTGTGCCCGCTTTATAGCATACAATGCCTAATTGGTGACCATTAGTCCCCCATGATCCCCTTTTTCTTATGTTAATTGAGAGCTGATTTGATGAGATAACCACCCGTCGGTGGCCATGTAGGGAGGTCTAATCCCTCCTGGCCAAACTAGTGCAGAGGAGCTTCAATTCTCAAATATTTTCAATCACATCACACATTAACTCACCTTTTAAAGCTTTCTAGTACATCTGACTCCTTATAGCTGGTTGCATCAGGATGAGAAGGGGGTAAGCACACATCCCCACTCTCAAGCTCAGAGCAAGGAATACCATATCTTACTACTGTCTGGCAAGGTATGTATGAGGACCAACCTGCAGAATACCAGACAAAAAACAAACAATACTATTCACCCTGAAGCCTAGTGTAAACAAAGAATTGGTTTGAAATTAGTTTTTTTCATGTTTTTCTTAAGTTATACCACATAGACAGCGATCCAGTAAAGGAATATGATGTTGCATGTAGTAAATCATTTACTTTGAATGTAATTAAACCAGCTAAACTATTTCAAGATTCCGACTCAAGAGTCAAAATTAAATGATCCTATCCTTGATCTCATTATGGAAATTTTGCTTTCCATAAGTATATAATCAATAAATTATGATTGTGATGTTGAACTCCCAAGGTTAAAGAAAGAAAATTATTACAAATATCTTAACAGTCTATTTTCTACTGTAGTTTTGTCAATCTTATAAAATCTTACCTTTATGGCGCACAAAGAAAGGATGGTCTGTAGAGCAGATGGCTTCAAGACACGATTGACCTTTGACATCAGGGTCAAAGGTCAATTTCATTTGATCGTAGACTTCAGCATGGATGTCGGGTAGCCTAGGATCGCTAGGCTTCAGGTCCTCTATCTTGACCAGGCGTAATCCAAGAGGTGCGTACCCAGAGATAGGGGACTGTCCTCTCCCGGATTCATCCTTGATGAGACAGGCTTGTGTGGCTAGATACTCGTTGCTTCCGATCTCCTCGGCGAGCCGCCACTCTGTGCGAGGACCTGATGTGAATCGTATCATGTTACCTGAATATACATGCAGGGATAGAGGGTTTGGTTAAGTGAGCCTATTTTTTCTTAGTAAAGGGGATGTCCACCCTGATATTAATCAATTTTAATAGAGGCAGAAAAATGAGAGGATTGTGTCGGTGAAAGTTTGAGCGAAATCTGATTAAAATTTAGAAAGTTGTGAATATTTAAAGTTAAAATCAATCAAACACAAATTGGCAACTCTGTGACATATCTTGCGAGGTTGCCTCCCACTTACTTTGTACCATAAAAAATCAGAAAGAAAAATGTCAATCCTACATGCAGCTTGTAACTTGTTTGCAAAGACCAAATAAAATATCTTGTATCTTGTATCAAAACAAATCTATTCCGTCATCAATTACTACGAAAATGGAAATTAAAGCAATACCTGTGCAGAGCAAATTGGCAAGGACCTCAAAGATATGTCACAGTGTTGCAAAATTGTGTTTCAAAGACGACAACTTTCCAAATTCATAACTTTCATAGCTTATGCTTTCACTGTTCTGTTCCTCAAATTTTCTTGCTTCTATTAATACTATTAATCAATAACAGCTTATTATTGGGATGGAATTCCCCTTTAAAAGTCACTTCTTTTTTTATAGCCAAAACAAAAGTGGTATGATTCAAAGTGGAGACTGAAGTGGATTGTAACTAGGACTGTTGTATAAGAATGTCTACATGAACACACACTCAGCTAGTTTACAAGAAAGACTACAATCTCTATTTTTAACCACAAGAGGCCCAGGGGCCAAAATCCTAGGTACATTTACAAGTGGCTACACCCACTTTTGTTTATTTTTCTTTAATTGCATCAATTTTCTGATTACCCCACTCGTTGTATTTCCCCCCAAGATTTCTAACTACAGAAAGTTAAAAATCACTGGTATCACTATCACCTAACTACATATAATCTAATGTGAGTAATAGGCTCTTTCAGACTCGATGCTTTATTGCAAGGTTTATTCACGCTCATGGTGTCATAAATCAATCAATAATGTTTTTGTCAGGTTCGATCAAGTGTGTTACATAAATATGAAATCAACCCTCTGTAAGAAGCCACAACACTCAAATGGTCTAAAAAGTTAATAAACTGCTTAACAATACAAAAGCTTGAAATGATGTCTTATGCCTCAGTCACACCTTTGCGTATTTGGCTTGCGTATTGCTGCATATTTATGGCAAGCCGTTTTAACGTTTATTCCTATTTCTTATTAGAATTACTATTGCTTTGCAACAGAAAATCATTTCTTGATATCAAGAAATAGGAATAAATGTTCAAACGGCTTGCCATAAATATGCAGCAATACGCAAGCCAAATACGCACAAGCTTGAAATGATGTCTTAGAGTGACAGATATAGTACCTTTGAGAAAGCACTTCCAGACAGCTACTGGCCAGGGGTGTGACCAGGTACCCCCTCCTGCTAACTCTGAATCTTTGGGCGATGCTGGGAAGGGTGAAGAAGAGGTGATCCTAGCATCGCTCAGCTCAGGGGCCCATGTACCAACGGGATCGATGAAGTCATCCTCATCGTTGACGTGAGACGACGATGATGATGACGATGAAGATGAGATGAGAAACGATGGAGGTGGAGCATTGCGAGGGGGTTTGGCGTAGGTGTGAATGGCACGGTTGAGAGAGTTGACTGCGGCTGATAGTCTACAGAGAAGATTGATACAGGAGCAGTTACAGTCAGGTCATGATCTTGATGTAATTACAGAACAATGATGGCACAATAAGGAAGTTTTCTACTTGTGTAGCATCAGAAAGTATGTGATAATTAAATAATATTTATTATGGAAAAATTAGTATACAAATATACAATGTCTTGAGAGGTTCTGGTTGAAACTATGGGCAAGAGGTGACTCCAGTAGTACTATTGGAGTCACTGAGGCCTGTAGTTTTAATCAGTATTTCGAAAAGAAGGCAGAGTATATTAGTTTTATATCCTGCATCAAAAGAAAAACAAATTGTATTAACAAATATTAAACATTTTATATATTTTTGTAGTTGTATTTTTAATAAAATTTTGAAATTAACAAAAAATAATCAAACAAAATTTTTAACTCCCATATAGTACTTCTACTCCCAAATAGTTCTTTTTCAGAGCAGCCTTACAATAGTAGAAATATTTTTGGTCACGTGAAGAGCTCTCAACCAATAAATTTTTGATGCAAGATATTTTACTAAATAATTTGGTCTCTATTTTTGTTTACCATAATTGGAGGCGTTTTGACAAAAAATTTGAAAGAAAATCTATCATGCAATAAATCCTCAATGAGAGAGACTTTCTACTTTGTTATCTTCTTCCCTGAAAAGTGATTATTCCATTATATATCAAACTCAGTGCTCAAAATACACGGGGGGGGCGGTGGGCGATTCGCCCCCGTGAGCTACATAATAGCCCCCGTCAGGTTGCTCACGGGGCGATTGCAAAATTAAAAATCGCCCCCGTGGAATTATAAAATAAAGATTATCTTTTCTGTTATAACTTCAACACAATATTGAGTTTCAATTTTCAAACCTTAAACCAATGAAATGGAACTCAGATTAGCGTGCAAGATTTCTTGTTTTATGAGTAGGCCTATTATTACCGATTCAGCTCGCAGTGCAGTGCCCCCGTCAGCAGTGGTTATAGGCCTACTGCGCCGTTAGTAACGGTACGTGTGCATGCTGCCGCGCCATGTCTGCTGGAGCTGGAGGCGGGGGGGGGGGGGTTAGGGGGTTTAACCCCCTCCTCCCACCCCCCCGGCCCCCTTGGGCTGCCAAGTGAAAATGTGATATTAAAGCGGGGGGGGGGGGGGGGGGGGATGCTGGAGAGGAGGACTGCTAATCTATTTTATTTTTTTCAGGGGGGGGGGGGGGGGGAGTGAAGCGCCATTTTAGCATGACTTTCTTTTTAACTCTTACTTTCACCTATCTCAGCTAACCCTAAGTCTTTGGTTGCTGCTTTATATGTAGTTGATAATACATGATTAAAATAAAGAGAGAGAGAGAGAGGGAGAGAGAGAGAACCACCATCATTTTGCAATGGTTCAGGGTTCGTGTAATGTACATTTGAAACCATTTCTTAGCGTCTCAACCCTAAAAAAATAGCAAAACTAGTTTTGAGGAAAAGCATTATACTGAATTAAATAAAGAATAATAGCTTTATATTGGATCATACTAATACTGATACGGGATAAAGACAATGTGGTATTTGTATAGAGGTATTCCAAAATGACATTCTGATAATCAACATTTGTTCTGGTATCGTATATACGCATAATACAACTGATCTTTATGATTTCTTAACGTGACATAGCTTCTTCTCCCCCTGCAAAAAAACAAAAAAACAAGGTTATTTAATAAAAGGATCATGCGACAAATAATCATTGTGATTCAAATTGATGCAAGGATTTTTTTGAATAAGCAATGCTTTTCACCAGAATCTTCTTTGTAAAAACGACTTTTACAAATCTCAGCCATGTAAATCTGCCACTGTGTTGTAAGATCACTTTCAGATTAGGAGGAGTGTATTATTTAATGAATATTTTACATTGAATGGAACGTCTCAACTCAGTAAGCATGGCTGAGATTTGTAAAAGTTGTTTTTACAAAGAAGAATTGGGTAAATAGCAGTGCTTATTCAAACAAATATTCGCATCAATTTGAATCACAATCATTATTTGTTGCTTAATCCCTTTTAATGACCTTGTTTTCTTTCTCGTTTGCAAGGGGAGAAGAAGATATGTCACGTTAAAGACATCATAAAGATCAGTGTTGTATGCGTATATAGTATATACACAGGCCAGTAACAGCTTGTAGCTTGTAAATTTGTAAGAGGGAAAATGCTGATTGAAATGATAATGATGAAATAGCATATAATTGAGGAGTATCATAGGTACCAATTCAATGGATATTTGTATAAAAAAAAGCCCCCGTCAGTACTAAAAGAGCCCCCGTGAGAAGGCTCACGGGGGCTCTTTTTTGGGTGGAAGAGCCCCCGTGGACAAAAAATTAATTTGAGCCCTGATCAAACTTGATAGAAACCTAATGAAAAATGCAATTTCATTGCGAGCACATGCTGAAAAACTAAAAAGTGAAAATCCAGCTACCTTGTTGGTTTATGAAGTACACTTCCCTCAGAGTGATGCCTCTGTCTCCCAGATGAGCCCCCACTCTTCCTTTGCATAAGGGGGCTTTGAGGGCTGGTGGCAATGATGGCCAACTCCGTCAGCCAGTTCTGAGCAGACCGGTGATCCCCATCTCCATTACATCCATCCAACGAATGCATGTGACTGATAGGCGCATTTTCGTTCATGATGGGTTTCACACCAGTCTCAATTTTGAGAACTTGGCAAGGCTTGGGAACTGTGCCATTGGAGATAAAATAAAAAATGTGAGAAGTGAGCCTTGTTTGAGCATGCATGGGCGAATGTGTTTATTTTAGAGAATTATTGGTACAGTGTATATAAATCAAGAACAAAATGTAGACAATTTATAACAGCCACATACAATCTGTTTTCAACATTCGATAAACAATAATAGGGTACTTTTGAAAAAATGAAAGGTATTGGTATACATCAAATATGTTTAAAGCAGGGCTCAAATTAATTTTTTGTCCACGGGGGCTCTTCCCCCCCCCCCCCAAAAAAGAGCCCCCGTGAGCCTTCTCACGGGGGCTCTTTTAGTACTGACGGGGGCTCTTTTTTATACAAATATCCATTGAATTGGTACCTATGATACTCCTCAATTATTTGCTATTTCATCATTATCATTCCAATCAGCATTTTCCCTCTTACAAATTTACAAGCTACATAGCTGTTACTGGCCTGTGTATATAATATATACGCATACAACACTGATCTTTATGATGTCTTTAACGTGACATATCTTCTTCTCCCCTTGCAAACGAGAAAGAAAACAAGGTCATTAAAAGGGATTAAGCGACAAATAATGATTGTGATTCAAATTGATGCGAATATTTGTTTGAATAAGCACTGCTATTCACCCGAATCTTCTTTGTAAAAACAACTTTTACAAATCTCAGTCATGCTTACTGAGTTGAGACGTTCCATTCAATGTAAAATACTCATTAAAGAATACACTTCTCCTAATCTGAAAGTGATCTTACAACACAGTGGCAGATTTGCATGGCTGAGATTTGTAAAAGTCGTTTTTACAAAGAAGATTCTGGTGAAAAGCATTGCTTATTCAAAAAAAAAATCCTTGCATCAATTTGAATCACAATGATTATTTGTCGCATGATCCTTTTATTAAATAACCTTGTTTTCTTTTTTGTTTGCAGGGGGAAAAGAAGCTATGTCACGTTAAGAAATCATAAAGATCAGTTGTATTATGCGTATATACATTATGATACCAGAACAAATGTTGATTATCAGAATGTCATTTTGGAATACCTCTAAACAAATACCACATTGTCTTTAGCCCGTATCAGTATTAGTATCATGCAATATAAAGCTATTATTCTTTATTTAATTCAGTATAATGCTTTTCCTCAAAAATAGTTTTGCCATTTTGTTAGGGTTGAGACGCTAAGAAATGGTTTCAAATGTACATTACACGAACCCTGAACCATTGCAAAATGATGGTGGTTCTCTCTCTCTCTCTTTACTTTAATCATGCATTATCAACTACATATAAAGCAGCAACCAAAAACTTAGGGTTATCTGAGATAGGTGAAAGTAAGAGTTAAAAAGAAAGTCATGCTAAAACGGCGCTTCACTCCCCCCCCCCCCATGAAAAAAATAAATAGATTAGTAGTCCTCCTCTCCAGCACCCCCCCCCCCCCCCCCCCCCCCCCCCGCTTTAATATCACATTTTCACTTGGCAGCCCAAGGGGGCCGGGGGTGGGAGGAGGGGGGTTAAACCCCTAACCCCCCCCCGTAGATCTGCCCATGTTACCATATCATTCCACGACATCTTGGTCTTCCTCTTCTTCTCAATAGGGACTTTTAGATTTGCGTGGACGTGGACGTGTTACGTCCTTTTAAGGCACTGGCAGTCACATGTCACGTCCTTTTAAGCACTGGCACTGCCTTAAAAGGAGGTCACACGTTTCAGTCCACGTTCCCATCGTGCAAATCTAAAGGTCCCTAATATTGATTTACTGGTCGAGGTTCATTATTTGCTATTCATTTGAAATCACCAGATTTCAGCGGGTTAACGCTTTCACAACGAAAAACTTCTCCATGACCATGTTTCTGCCCTTGCGCGATCGCCTCCAGCTCCAGCAGACATAGCGCGGCAGCGTGCACACGTACCGCTACTAAGGGCGCAGTAGGCCTATAACCACTGCTGACGGCGGCACTGCACTGTGAGCTGAATCGGTAATAATAGGCCTACTCATAGAACGAGAAATCTTGCACGCTAATCTAAATTCCATTTCATTTGAAAATTGAAACTCAATATCGTGTTAAAGTTATACCAGAAAAGAAAATCTTTATATTATAATTCCACGGGGGTGATTTTTTATTTTGCAATCGCCCCCGTGAGCAACCTGACGGGGGCGATTATGTAGCTCACGGGGGCGAATCGCCCACCGCCCCCGTGTATTTTGAGCGCTGGTTTAAAGGTATTACAAAGTTTTGGTATGGGGTCATTATTTTGGTTCAAATGAACATAATGAAAGCATATGCGATCCTACAACATTCAGAGATCATTGTCGCGGTTGAAATCGATTCTAAAGTTATGAAATTGCAAATTATACACTCTTTATGTTGTATTGCTCCCTCTCAAGGTCAAGATATTAATTACGCTATTTAACAATGTTCCTTGACTAAAATCGACCGATTAACTATTCCCGTTTGGAAGTTATATATCACAACTACATATTCTGAGCTTTTCATGGTAGCAGTTGCCATCGTACGGCCTTAGGCGCTATTTGAAATTTTATCAAAATTTACCGGGAGCACCGGTAAATTTTTATATTCAATTTTTCTCAAAAGCAGAAGTGTTTTAGGGGCTAAGTTTTCTAGTGCGTATAATACATCCACAGGGGCATCCAACTATATCAAAATTGTACAGAATCACTATCCACCCAATTTTCAAAATTAACCAAAACTTTGTATTACCTTTAATGATTTTATTTGATGCATAAATTGTCAATGAAGATTATCAATTAACAGTTTGAATTATCTTATAAACAAAATTGATGTAAACTTGTGATGACCTATTTTCATAATCTAAATGTCAGTTTAGATATATATTCCTCCCGACATCAAAATTACTAGAATCTATACTATTACAACAACAAAATTGTCTTCCTCAATAGAAATTTAATTAACATTGAAATTTTCGCCCGGTCAACTTCATTCCTTGAGGAATAAAAATATGAAGTGTCAACTGAAAAAATAATAGGCCTCTCACTTTCCATAACTTACCATTAGCATTGCAATCAAGGTGGGGATGATTATCTGCAAGAAACTTTTGATTGTCTGTCATGGCTGCTGCCTAGATTTGAAAATAAAAAACAAACTATTATATCATGCCACCTTAAATTTTGTTTTAAATTCTTTAATATTATCTGATTTCATTTATTAATATTATTTTTATTTTTCATTGTATTTCATTCCTTTAGATATGGTAAGAACTAGATGTCAATAGCAGCCTACCTCTCAAGATATTTCTTGCGGGCTGATGGCAAATGTTTCTTGAAGTCTGATGTATACTTTGGACGGTGCTAGTGCTTACCCGACTGATATAATATAAGAAAGCAGTAAGCATATTCTATCCTCTAGTCTAGTCATTTATATTATAAGAAAGCAGTAAGCATATTCTATCCTCTAGTCTAGTCATTTATATTTTGTGGGGGGGGGGGGGGGCTTTAATATGACACAAACAAATTGATCTAATTATGATTTTCAACATAAGAATCTTAAATTGAAAGTAAATGCACATGCATCAGGGTGCCGTTTTCTCTCCTTCTGTCTTTTTCTTCTTCTCCCCTACTTTTCCTTTCCTCTTAAATGTGTCATTCAAACGAATGTATGTAGGCTAGATCTCCTATGTGCTACACCCTCGATCAGTTGGTCACTGCAAAATCACTAATCTAAATGGAAAACTATCTTAAACTAGCCTAGATTCTAGATCTACTTCTAATTCTTGTAAGTTGTAGGTGTGAAATTAATAACAGCCCATCCCATTCAATCTACGCACGTACGCAAGCGGCACGGTACCCGGGAATTTACGTGTAGCTGTGTGTGTACTGTCGTATGTAGTAAATGAATGTGGTTTCCGCCCAGCTGACTGAATGAATGGCTTCGATAATAACAAGATTTCCTGTTGCTAAAAATCATCCAATTTATGATAATTCCCAGGTAATTTCAGCTACCACAACATCAATCTTGGAATCCCTTACCTCAATGTTCGTACTACTCAGCTTCTCGGTGCAATTATAAGTCTTGAATCAGGAAAAACAAAGGTTGTTTTCCTCTCGTGCTATCATCTAACTTGGCTCGGCACTGGAAGGGACGCCATGATCATGAATGACCACCGAGAACTTGTTTACTATGTATGCAAATATCCGAAATCCGTGTAGGTGATTGGTCAATGAAAGGGACCTGTCAATTTGTGTGCTTGTGATTGGTTTGACTAGTAATTGCTCCATCCAAAACATTGCGTGTTCCTCCAAGGGTCCCTGAACCACAGAACCCTCCGAATATAGTTATTCTGAAACTATATCTCGTATGATTTACTGATTTAATCGAACCATAGATCTAAGTTAGGTTTAGTAATAAAGAGAAGTTTAATAACGATATTTGTCAGTTCTAACTTCTATGTCATGACTTTATACTGCAAGGCCTCATTTTTTATATTCTCTTCAATGTTTGTGATTTAATTGTTTGCATGTTTTGAACTGTTTGTGTTTTGTTTTTGTTTTTACAATCTGGAAATTACTAATGAGAAGTTAGTTAGTGACGTACCATGGTTATCAAGTTAAGCTGTTCCATACCCATGTTTTTTTAATCCTGATGTAGGCTTTTGCTGAATGAATAATAAATAAACATGTTGTTGTTGTTGTTGTTGTTTTAGTTTAAGGGCGTGTGTCATTCAAATATGAATATTTATTCAGCAAATATAGTCTTGCTACAAACAAAGTGATGTGATTATGATGCAATTGAGATATTTCTTAGCAGTCAGGTAAAACAAACAAATAGACAAACAAACCAACTGTGATGCATATGTTGTGTATCTGGCCCACGACCCACGCCCTAATTGCACCAGCCCCGACCCTCCCCCTCGGCCCTCGGCGGCTCTCCAATGTACACAGACCATGCAGGAACATCAACATTTGACAAAGTAGTAAATATGCAATATAGGCCTCATGATCTCATCCGATGAAGCTGGATAGCAAAGAATTAGTATTAAGTCCAATGACTCTAAACACTGGCAGCTAGGGGCGGCACCTTTTTTCTTCTTTTTTAATAAATATTCATGGGCCAATTTCAAACTAACCGAGCAGATATCATGCGTGGTCAAACAGTTACTGTAAACATCCCTCCCCCCCCCCCCCAAAAAATAATAATAAATCGAGTTAATTTAGTTATTCAGATCAGTGGCGGATCCAGGAGGCCGAGCGGGCCTTGCCCCCCCCCCCCCCCCGGCCCGCAAAGAAAGGAGAAAGATAGAGAGAAGAAGGAAAAGAAGGGAAAGAGTCGTGAGAAAGGGAACGAAAGAAAAGGGAGAAGAAAAGAAAAGGGGAAAAAGAAGGATGAATCGGGGGCCAAAAGGGTCTTGCCTCCCAGCTGTAACCCCGCCCCGCCCCCCCCCCCCCCCCCATCGAAAAATAAGAGAGAAGGAAGGAAAGGTAAAGAAAAAAGAGGATCGAAGAAGAAAAGAAAAGAAGGGGATATCAATCGCAATTTTCCCGCCAACAAGTTGTAGTTCGGGGGAGGGGGGCGAAAGAAAGAAAAAATAGTGACCTGCCAGTTTGACAAAACATGGTATCAAAATATCTTTATCTGACCATTATAAAATGCTTAAAACCCCTGAGCTTCTGGGGGCTCCGCCCCGTGGACCCCACGTCATTTAGTGACCTGCCAGTGTCACAAATAAGGTATCAAAATATGCTCATCTGTCGGTTACTTAATGTATAAAACTCCTGAGCTTCTGGGGGCTCCGCCCTCTGGACCCCAGACCAATTTGTGTCCTGCCAGTGTCACAAATAAGGTATCAAAATATGCTCATTTTGTCGTAATTAAATGCCTATACTCCCTGAGGTTCTAGGGGCTCCTTCCCTTGACCCCGCAGTGGCTTTGCCCCTATAGACCCCACGCCAATTCACCTCTACCTGATCGTAAATACCTACCCCCCCCCCACCTACTTAGAGAAACGTTCAGCGGGGCCTGCATGTAAGAGTGGGGTGGTGCGGATTTTTTTGCCTACCCCCCCCCCCCCCCCCCCCCCAAACGTTTTTGCTCAATTCGCCACTGCCGGTGTCACCATTACGTACCAATGTTTGGCTCGCATAATTTCAAATTTGGGCCCCCCCCCTAAGAAATCCTGGATCCGCGCCTGATTCAGATGGCCTATCTAAGGAAGCCCAACAATATATCAAATACGTACAGATAGGCCATGAAATCGGGGGGGGGGGGGATAGTCAGATTCGGTTTGGACGGTGACAGGGATGTGCTCAACCCTCGAAACCCCTACCCATTTTAAGGTTCATTTTCATGGGGGGGGGGGGGGGGTGGTTATCAAAGTGAAGCCCGTTTTTTCAGGACCCATCTTTAGGGATATTTTTGTTGAAAAATGGATCCCATGTATAGGGTTTTTTGTGTGCAAAAGTGACCCATTAGAGTGGCACACCCCGTATGCCTTAATATGTGTGTACCCCCCCCCCCCCCCCTCCCCGGGCAGAAATACATTGATATTGACAAGATAAGTATACAAACATAAAGAAGAAAACCAAAGAAAACTGTAAGAGGTAAAAAGTAAAATAAATAATTCTAGATACACACTCGACCCATGTTTATTTGTTATTTTCCGAGGTCGAGTAGTAACCATGGCCGGAGTGAGAGAAAAAAGCATTTTGTAGGTGCATTGTATCAATATTTGTTTGTCTCTTCCATGCATATAGTAATTGTTAGGCATTTTCAGAATGTCGGGGGACGACTGTCACATACGGACCCTTGATAATATTCTATCTTCTGTGATATTAGACTCCTATATTCAGTTGCCCCTCGGCCCCTGGCCCCTGCGATAACAGCTAGAGAACAAAACGTGAAGACCCTTTATTAGAAGTTGTTGCTATTAATACAATCATGTAGTACCACTGACATTGTATATGTTAATTAAGCGCTTTGTATCTACTTGTAGAAAAGGCGCTATACAAATGTTCATTATTATTATATTATTATATTATTATTATTTGTTTTTTTGGGGGGGGGGGGGGGGGGTCTCCGATATATGGATCCGAACGAACATGTACAATTTTCTACATCTTGCGTATTGCTTGAAAGCTATTGGCTCAAATATTGATTGATGCTGTGCGCGTCACATGAATTAGCCAATCATCGACCCGGAATGCTAGTTTATCAATTAAAGGTCCCGTATGTGCATATTACAGGTGTATCGAGAGGTAAGATGTTCCAGGAATCAACAATTTTGTGGTATTTACGTGTTTTAATCACTGTTTTTGTTATGTGAGATCGAATTTCTGTATGAAACAACGAATTCAAGTGAATTTTGTAGTATCAATGAGTGAAAACGTGTTGCTACGTGAGTGTTTTGGGGCGTGCTTAGATACGAACGTGTGACTCATTTTATTTGTTGACCTATTCATGGCTCTGACGGAGAGCGAGAGCAAACGAAGCCAGGCTCATCGGCCTGGCGCTGGCCTGGACTGGGTAGCTTCTACGTCGGAGGGCTCGGGCTCGGGAATAATGCCTCGCGAAAGGAGTATGAGCCTTATGTAGATTTTCTTTATCATGTTTAAACTCTAGTTAACTTATACATTGTCACAGTCATGCTTCTTTCATGTGATTGTGAGTAAGAATCGGGGGGCTGTACAAGAACACGCTGGGGGATCACTCCCAACATGACAAGCTGTATAGCGCCTACGCACCCGCGTCCAGAAAAAGCTTCAAAAGGGTGTCTTTTTCAGCTATACAGTGTCGTCAAAGTTTTCCTTCAAATTTAAGCAAGGGGTGTTTTCCAAGCTCTGATATTGCACAAAAAAATCCCCCCAAAAGGGCACCTTTTAAGTTTAACAGGTTCGGCATTGCATTTTGGCGTTTCCATTAAAAAGAGTGTTTTTCAAGCACGTACTGCTCGCACAAAAAACAAAAACAGTGTACCTTTTCAGGTTAGGGTCATTTCAGAAAAGGTGCACTACGCCATTATAGGGTCCATTTCAGAGGTTGATGGACACGGCTGGGTAACACCATAAAACATGTATATAATTAGGCACAAATTCGCACAAGCCGTCGGCAGAAGATCACCCTTGTCGAGATGCTGAACAGGCTTTGACAAGTAACAGAATAGAAGTAGAAGTAGAAGCACTAGTGAGAGTGAAAGCAAGGCCAACAATTAAGAAGAGACAGACTAATGAGTAATGGATATATCTTGCTCGTACAATTAGGTCAAGTAGGATGATATAATTGAAATGTTGGTCAAAACACATATATCTACCCCCAGACATGGAAGATCTGGTAAAAGTAATAAAGTAATAAAATATTTTTTTATTCAAATTCAGCAACAAGGAGACTGTCAGAAATAGTTGTAATAAATATTATAATCTCAGTTAGATACCAACAAAACATAATGAGAGAATGCCTTCTTTTGTGGTGATCATAATTCAAGAAATGCAACATATTGTTTAACCATTCAAGAGATCTCTGAGAATTGCCATAGGTTGTACTTGTAGAAGTGTAGAGGGCAGCAAGTTACACAATCAAAGAATGTTTTATTGTGACTAAAGTTTCATCGAGTGAAATTTAAACATTGTTTTTTCTCTATCCTAGGACATACATTTGTATTCATCATGTTGAATATCAGCTGAAGATGAGCACATACTGGACTTAAATTAAATGAATGATCGATTATTCTAATAATGGCAAACTCAACAGGATACAAGCTGCGCAGCGCAGCCCATAAACACTTGACAGAATCAGAGTGCACAAAGCTCAAGATATGTATCCGGAGATTCAGAGAGACCCTGTCCGTGCTGGGACTTTGCACGTCTCTACAGAAGTTCATGGATACCCCAGACAAAGTGCATTTGATGACTCTCATCTTCCCGATGATACCAAAGGACCTTCTGGTGGACTTTGACAACCTATCTCGACTTCAATTCGAGCACTACAGTACGCTGGTTAGACCAAAGCTGGTGGAGAAGTACAAATTGGACGATGCGAAGAAGCAAAGTCCAAACAAAGGATTGAGTCGGAAATCCTCCACTCGTGTCTTGTTGCCTGTGGAGCACATGCACAACCTAGCAGAGGCCCGAGAACACACAATGGAAACCTTCAAAGGCAGACGCAGCGAGATGCATCGTAATGGAAGCCAGCAGGCTGTAGAGCTGACTAGAGTGTCAAAGGAACATAAGCGAAGCAAGACGTATCATGCTCTTGAGCAGCCAGTCAGCGGGGACGAAGCTCCTAGGTCAGTGTTTCGTGAACCACAGCCTCCAGTAGTACTCAATACCAGCCAAACAAGTAGTGATTCCACACCAAGAGTCAGACTAGGGGAGCTCAGGCAGGAGTCTACACCAAAATCTCTCAAGGTATTTAAAAAAAAAAAAATCTATTTATTGCTACTTCCAACAGAATAACTTTTTGAAGAAGTCTTTCCAACAAACTAGAAACTACCCCCATATATTTTGTTCAAATCAAAAGGACTACAATATGTATTTGTCTTCTCTTTTGGGATATCAGCTAGATATTAGTCACATATTTCCTCATTTTATAGTACATGTGTAACTGCATTGTACATCTATACCCAGTAAACAGTAGCCTACAATGTACTTGTACATGAACCATTGCAAGTGCACGAAGGATCTTTCTTCATTTCATGTAATTGCATCTTCGTCTTGTGCATGTATGCATTCATTGTTTGTGCAAGGCTAAGTTAAACAGTCAAATCCAATGATCATTGTCATGGTTTCCATAACAGTACCTCATGATCGTCAGGTATTTGCACTGTAAACATCAATGGGTTGTACATTTTGTAGTTAAAAGTGGGACAGTTAAGCTTATACGCATACAGGGAATTGTTCCAAATATTGTACTGTAGAATTCTATTCTATTGTATTCTACTTCACTAAGCAGAGTTTTTTGTAGGACCTACCACAACCTCAGTTGTCTTTTATGCAAACACATGTACATGTATGTTGTGTTTTGTCTTAAACATGGAGTGATAGCAAATAGAAGCAGGTGCAAAATAGCAGGCTTAGATTTTACCATACCTATACATATAATAAATCTTAGTGATTACTTGATGATAACTCTTTATTGATTTCTACTTGATTATGTTGTAGACCATTACTGTTGTTCCACCAAAATACATTTCTTGATATTTTTAACTGTGTACTGGATATTGTTGTAATTATTGATAAAATAACATATTGGATATCAGACATCGCATGAGTTCAATGTATGCCAAAGACTATGTCATGGCAAGTTGTACATACATGTATTTAGGATTATCATGACTTCTTATTAAAAGCTGGATTGCACTACTTGTAGCTACTTTTGCCCTCTATATGCAGGGAGGTCTCATCCCTCCTGGCCAAACTAGTGCAGACAGGCTTTTTAAGTAATTTTACACTGTCTCAAGATTGTAACTGCTTCATAAGTAAATTGTGTATTTTCCATTTGAATTTGCAGGTGCGACGAGTGACCCTTGAGAGGCGAGAAGGGCAGTCCTTTGGTTTTTGCATTCGAGGTGGCATTGACCTTAACACTGGCATATTTGTCTCTGAGGTGGACTCTGGGGGCCAAGCTGAGCAAAAGGTATTGCATCAGAACATTGTTACATTATATGGCCCTGTCCAATATGCATTCATTGAAAATACGATGCTATCATCCTACAGTACTTGTCCATTTGGGCAAGCAAAGACTTACTTCTTGTAGTACTATAAGACACAAAATATTGTTGTGAATTGTTAATAACAGTTTTTTTCACAGCAAGAAACATTTGATCATTGTGATGAACATTATGAATGAATGTAGACCATTCACATTATTTCAATAATTTCTGGTTTTACAGTACAACAGAAAAATATATTTATGCTAATATACATTGGAGCAATCGATGCTACTAACTTCAGAAAATGAGTTTTAAAACAATTGCTGTATTTAAAAGACTTGCATAGTTTTATTATTAATTGAATACTGTGAGCAATTATAGCTTGGAAATTCAATAATTTGGGTGGCAGTGTTGGGCCATACTTGACAGATCCAAGAAATCTGAAATATTTTGCCTTAATATCTTGGAAATGAAAAAGGGAAGAATTGTGAGTTCTTCTTCCAGCAAGTATTGCAAGCAAACCAAACCAAGTATTGAAATCTAAATGTTTACTGAACCTGTTACTGAACCATACTGAACCTGCTCATCTTAGGGAATGAAAGTAGGAGAAAGAATCCTCAAAGTGAACAACGTAGTCTTCAAGAGCATCAGCCATTCTCAAGCTGTTGTAGCTATCAAGTCTGCTTCTCGTATTCATGTCTACTTAGCACCTCTTGGTCAGATGCCTGGTTCTACTGGTACAACACCAAGGTAAGCTGAATAAAAGTCCAGGGGGGTGTTTTACAAAGATCCTAAATTGGACTTAACAATTATTGAAAGCCGTTAGCATCTTTGAAATAATTTGTAAAAGTTATTTTAAAAGGCATAAAATGTTGAGTAAAATCATTCATATTTTCTATTATCAAGGAGATTTCATGTTCTGGATGTAGAATTCATGAAAACTCTAAAATACTTGAATTTTTGCTCTTGAACACATTTTATTTTAAGGCTACAAATGGCTCTCCATAATGTTTAAGTCCAACTTAGAGTTAAGTTCGACTTAGGATCTTTGTGAAATATCCCCCAATTTATGCTGCTGTGTCCCTTATGAGTGACTTAATTCTTTGTGTTTATTGAGTAACAAGTGAAAGTCTTTATGATACTCTAAAACAAAAACCCTTGTGATATATTTTCATTTATGTACAATCAGTTTAGGAAAGGTTTATAAATGAATTAAATTGCATTTTCAATTTAACTGACATTTGATTGAAATGCTATAATTATACACAATTGATGCATATTTTTTCATAGCCAAGCATAGCACATTACTACTTTATTTGTCGTAAACAATAGAAGTTTTGTTCTATTATCCTGTGCGATCAAAGTGTACTTGTGATATGGTTAATTTAAGCCAGACTACACTATTTGTAGCTACCTGAGCCCTCTATATAGCTAACAATGCCTTAAGAAGCGGTGCCCGTTGGTCCCCCATGATCCTCTTTTTCTTATGTAAATTGAGAGCTGATTTGATGAGATAACCACCTGTCAGTGACCTTGCAGGGAGGTCTAATCCCTCCTGGCTAAACTAGTGCAGACAACCTTTAAATACTACTGTCGATATCACCTTATCTTTCCATTCTTTTCAGGATTGATGATCAGATGTCTGGTAACCTTGGCAGTCAGTTGAGATTACCTAGCACAGATACCATCAACATGGCGGCATCTTCCAAGTCCAAGGGTCGTAAGGTCACCATCCTAGCTGAAGACGATGGCTGGCTTGGATTCAGCATTAGAGGGTAAGACCACTTCTGGGGCCTGTTTCACAAAGCATTCTTTCAATGACAATTGACAAAAATCAGTGACAAATGTGTTGATAACCAATTAGAAGCAAGGATTTCAGTAGCTTATAACAAAAACTGTCATTTGTCACTGATGACAAGTTTTGTGCAACCCCCCCCCCCCCCCCCCCCCCCCTGGAGTCCATGTCAATTCAAGAGCATCTACTCAATTCGGCAATGGGATCATCTCTCTGTGTACATTTTTATATCAGCTTGGCTAAGTAAAATGGTTCAAGTCATACATTCAAGTACTGTACTCTAGCAAGCTGACTTGATCCAACACACTTGACTTCAGTCAATTGTTTGAATATCATGCTATGAAATGTACATTTCTGAAATACTCATAGATAGTAAGACCTTGTCCCCCAAACTGCATGGTATTCCTGTCATTTGCTAGTTTTTTATTTGTGTTTTCTTGACAATAATATTCATTTTACCTGGGACTAAATGTGTGTTTCCAAGTAAATGTTTATCTTTAGAATTTTTTTTCTTCTTCATTTATTTGACAAAGTATTCCTTTTCAAAGTCTTAAAGTTTTCCTGACAAGTACTCAGTGGAATAGCCCACTCATAGTGAACTCATTCACTACCTCTTTGGTAGTGAATGAATATGAGCAACCCTTTTACCAACATCACAATAAGAGTTTTTCATGATTTTTTTTCTTCCTGTTTTGCAGTGGAACAGATCAGAGCATGGACATAACAGTTGCCAATGTGGATCTGTCATCGCCAGCAGAAAGATCAGGTCTGAAAAAGGGAGAGCGCATTCTGAAGGTCAGTAACTAATGTAGCCCTTTATTTTTCTGATTTATTTCTTTAGTCTAGATGAAGGATAATAAATCGCATAATATTTCTGTTTAGAATAATGTTTCTTGAGTGAAGCAGAAAGAAGCAGCAAAGTATTTTTATTTTGTTTTAACCCTCATTGCCCCTCTCTCTGTCTGTTCTCATTCTTTACCCCCCCCCAGCCCTTTCTATTCATATATGTTAAGTTTGCTAATCTTTCACACAATTTGGGTGATTTCCTTTCTTCTTCAAGGAGTTGGAGGGCGATGAGACAGTTGTTGCAATGCTTAAAGCCAAGGCCTCAAGTGTATATGTTGTAGTAATGTAATCTATTTTCACTCTTTGCATTTATCTCTCTAGCTTTAAAAAAAAAAGTTTGATGTTTGCCAATATTTTCACCTGCTGTGTGAGCCTGATGACGTTGTGATGAATTTATGATAGTTTGCTAACTTGAATGTTTTCAATTTTTCACAGGTGAATGGGAAAGCAGTGGAAGGATTAGAACACATGCAAATAGTCAACTTTGTCCTCTCTGCTAGTATCGTTGTTCTTCATGTGAAACCTGGTAAGTGACATTCATGCATGTATTTTTTTATGTTTTTCTTGCCTGTAGTTGGTTTTACTAAAGCATATTATGAAATATGACCCACGTTGATCATGTGTAACCTTAATGGTAAGCTCATAGGGTGCTCTCAATGCCCTTTTAGCAGATAGAAGATAACAATTGGCAATTACACAAACAATGGAGGCCCTTGAGGTCAGCATTCTTTATTCCATGTACACACTCCTGGCTTCAGGTTGCCTTGTACGTACAATTACATTGAGAATCTGGGACAAGAAAGGGGTCCACAACTTTTTTAGCAAGTTAATTTGAGTTTTAACAAAACAAAAAAGCAGAAAAGTTTCATAGATTTGATATAGAATCCAACGTCGATGGATCAGTCATGTGATTATGATGTCACCTTGTCATATTTTGTTTTGTACATGAGATGTCACAAATGTCTATCTTTCTTCTTTCGTAACCCTTCTTCCGTGCTTATCATTGAGATGTGTTATCAGTAGACTGTTCCTGCTCTCTTTCCCTAAATATAAATCTATTCCACTAATGGATGGTATTGATAAAGCTTGATTTCTGTTTTCATTAAAAAAACAGCTCTGAGGCGAGCATCTCAGGCTAGTGCCGTGTCATCCAAGGTGAGGGGTCGGCATGTTTCGTCCAGTTCATCTACTGCAAGCAAAGGAGCCAAACAAGAAAGTAAGTTTCATTCTCATTATTTTGTATTGATAGTAATTTTCAAACTTGCCATAATTTTTCGGCTGAATAATTGCACATTCTTCAATCAAACCATGTAATAACTACAACTGGCTGCTATACGTCTTTTTCATAATTTTTAAAATTTATTTTGTCTATCCGTCTGTCTTTTGCTTCCCCTCCCCCTCTCTCTTTCTCTTCCTCCTTTTTGTTTTACACTGTTACCTTCAATCATCTATCATGTACTAGTAGTTAGATTGAATGATTTAAAGGCTATAGAATTACAATCATAATTCTGTTTTCATATATATTAAAGGTAATACAAAGTTTTGGTATTGGGTCATGAATTTGGTTCAAATGAACATATTGGAAGCATATACGATCCTACAATATTCAGTGATCGTTGTCGCGGTCGAAATCGACTCTAAAGTTATGAAATTTTAAATAATAAACACTTTATGTTGAATAGCTCCCTCTCAAGGTCAAGATATTAATTAAGTTATAAAACAATGTTTATTGACTAAAATCGACCGATAAGCTATTCTCGTTCGGAAATTATATATCACAACTACACACTCTGAGATTTTCATGGTCGTAGCTACCATTGTATGGCCGTAGGAGCTATTTGAAATTTATCAAAATTTACCGGGAGCACCGGTAAATCTTTATATTCGATTTTTCTCGAAAGCAGAAACGTTTTAGGGGCTAAAATTTCTGGTGTTTTTAATTCATCCACATGGGCATCCAAATATATGGGCTATCCACCCATTTTTCAAAATTTCTCAAAACTTTGTAATATCTTTAAGTTAAGCTGATATATATTTTGTTGAAACTAGCATTTCACCTGCAGTTGCCATAAATGTGTTCTCTATGCTGCTTGTATTTCAGTTTCTTCTGGAAACGAGTTTGATGAATCCCTTACTCGATCTAGCGTGAGGAGAGGTCTAAGGTCACCCATACCAGAGACGGCCCAGGAGATTGCACAGTTTGTGGCTGTAAGTTGAACAAATATTAATCATTAATCGTCTTCATATAAATTGGCATTGCGTGAGTGATAAGGGAGAGCGCAAATGCTCAGTTTTAGCTTTACAGATAAATCAGTTCAAGATGTGTTCATATTCTGCGGTTTTAAGTAGATATGTGTGATGTTAGCTATTTTGATGAATATAATATACAAATATTATCGTGTAGCTGTTTACTCAGAATTGATACAAGTGAATCAATGACCAATGTTAATGTCTGTTATTATTTATGTTCTATCGCAGGAGATGCAGTCAACCCCACCTGTTTCTACTTCCACACCCCTCCCACCTGATGATGATCCAAGACTGATCAAGAATAGGAATCAGTACATGAGAGAGATGTACAATGGTGCTGCAACCAATGAGGATAGTATCCTTCAAAGGATGAGAGAAGATACTGGTGGTGAGGTAGATGCTCCTCTCCATCTCAACCTCTCCAACCTGTCAGGGAGGACCCTGGAGGAATCGTTCCAACAAAACGCAACAAGAGTGGATCCAGTGGATGCGAACGAAGGCTCAGAGAAAAACAGTCCAAGGAGACTTTCTAAGTTTGACCAGGGCACCATCCGACTGAATCTAGCCAAGGGCAGCGTGAAGGGCACGATGAAGGAAGCTAAGCTGATCAACGTCGATATTGATTTTGAGAACGATGTGGTGGAGAAGAAGCAGAGAAGGCATGTGAAAGATTTGTTCGAACAGAAGCAGGAGGTCAATCGCAGGTTGAGTCCGTCTCCTAACGGGCAAGGGTCGCAGCGTAAACAGATTCCCGATGGATACACGCCTCGCATGAACATTCTGAGCAGCCCCTATGCGCACTATGACCGTGAGAATAACATCAAAACCGAGACGCTGACACCGTCATCCAAAGACTTGAAGGGAGCCATGAGAACCGCGTCCAGTCAGATCAGCAATGAGTTGACTGGAAAGAGTAAGGGTATGACCACCTGCAATGTGCCACCTTCGCCTCACAATGGATCGAGTCCCGTGTCAAAGTTCATCCATAAGGTGCTCAGACGAAGGAGCAGTGGGGGAAAGGATTTGCTGAAGAAGGGCGGAGTGAGTCCTTCGAGCAACATAGGTAGCTCCGAGTCACTTAATGGGGGCTGCGGATCTTTGAGACTGGGCAATATCGGACCTGAGCCAACCCTCCAGGGGACTGCATATGATCTGATGAAAATGGGGGGTGGCGATTTCAGCTCCACTGATGGAGATTGAGATAGTAATTTGATGGATTTTAGACAATCTGGCTGAATATATCTATTTTATCTGCTGCATTAAAATGAGGTTGCTTAAAACTTGTAGTATTAAAATTATTTAATAGTTACAGTACTATACCTCTTTTGGTTAATATTCATTTCTTCATACTAGTATTTGCCAGTTAATGAGTACAATTTATGGTTGGGTTGTTACCATAACAAAATGTTGAAAGTACTCATTCACTCAATATGTCATTCAAATTCTATTCCCATATTTAATTTGGAATGGGAGCTTAGGCTTAGGATTTATAGTATGTTGTATTTTAATTTAAAAATAAATGACTTGTAAGTCATTTTTCATAGCACTTATGTGCAGAACCCAAGGCTACCAATTCGAGTGATGCATCAATCAGTTGTTTATGATTACATTTACTTCCCATTTTTTTCCTTTTTTTCTTCATAGAGCAAGAGAACAAATGCTATTCATTGCATGCAGTATTGAAATTTCAGGTCAAAATATTAATATTTTGAAGAGTGATTCTTTCATTTACATAGTGTATGATGACATACACACTCACTGCTAACCATATGTATGCATCATGCTAGCATCTGCATGTTATCTTTTTATTCCTCATTCAATAAATTACATTTGATGCTGCCAGAGCTGCCTTGATACCATATTGTCAAAGATCAAATTTTAGTTCACACATTTTTGAAAGCGTGTACAGTTTCACATATACCTGTAGATATGATATCCATAAGTTTACTCAATTTAAATGTAGATGATTTTGTCAGCCTGTTTCTGCATTTGTATACATGTAAGTCAGTTACATACTTTGAATCGTTCCTTTTACTATAGCCTTTCTTTCATTGATTTTCACCTTTCCAATACCTATATTCCTATTTGGGTTCTCTGTGATCGATCTTTTTAAAAGTGCAAGGAGAAATCTTTGTATGTGCCAATATATGTATGATTAAAAATGCTTCTTACACCTGCCATCATTCATAATCTTTCTTATGAATGACTCTTGCAAAAGACATACATTTTGATACAACCTGTACATTTTTTTTTTTTGTGATATATTAACAGATCTATATAAATTGTTTGTTAGTCTTTCTCAGTTTTTGTATCAATCCCATCGCTCTTTCCTGATGACATTACAAGAATAATGTCATATATGGGACAGCTAAATGTAATATACTACATATGTACCTGTAAATTGCTTCAAGTTTAATCAATCAAATGTATACATGTATGTGTATTTACATTTAAACTGATTATGTATGAAGTATGACATACAGGTATTAGTGGACTATTGTACATTTTCATTCCTAACTTGTATACATGATGCAATGGCTCAGAATCACCATTAAGTCTCAAACCTAACATGGAAACAAATGGGGGAAAATATAATTTTTCTCCTATTGATTGCTCTTTGATAAAACTTGAAGTTGAAATGACTTAATATGTCATTGGAAATTTGGAATCTCTAGTTTATATATAAATCAAATTAATGATGAATTCTGGTGAGTTGTAGATGGTCTTGATTCTTAAGAAGATGGGTCATATACTGACAAGTAGAAAGGCTTATGGTAATCAGATCATTTTGCAGTTGTATGATCATAGTAAGAACATCACATACAGTGTAGGTCATTCACTAAGGTTCCCGAAAAACACAATGCAACAATACCTGAAACAGAAATTCATATTACTCTAATACTTGTTGCATGTTAGCATTAATAATGAGGGATTGATCTGGATGCCCCCAAATTATGTGCAAATTTAGTTAAAATGAGTTTCTAATATTGCTGCAGGTTAGCAAAATTTTCTGTATAGAATTTGGTTTGATCTTTCCAATCCATGACTAATTAAAAGGTTAACTTCACAATATCTATTGTGCATGATTTGCTTTATAATAAAAATGATTTATTTTATTTTCTTGAAGAATATCAATTTCATTGCATTGTCAAGATGGTGCATATGATAATTTAAAGAGATGCAATAATCATTGTTATCCACCAAATTAAGTATTGTCATGATTACTTTCAGAATCTCTTTGTGCAATTCTTTATTTTTTAGATTAAACTACTTGTATTATAAAAAATATCGATGATACTTCATGTTTTGCTATATGGTTGTTAATTTAGATTTAGACTTCGAGATATAAAATATAGAATACAAAATTGAAGACTGACATCAGATGATGGTGAAAAGGAATACAATTTTTTTCTTTTTTTAACCCAGGAAATGATAGGAGTTTAAATAAAAATGTATCAGAATTGGGTAGAATTTATAAGTGTAATATATTGACAATTTTCTCACTTCTTTTCTAAAGGTGTGCTGTGGTAGCTCCATGAATTAATCTCTATATTTTCTTGTATGTCTTGTGACACAGAGCAATATTTTATTTTGTGATGCTATTACATTCTATCTGGCAGCATTTTCATTTCTGAATGGTTTTCCCATTATTCTTTAGAACTATCTATAAAGAAGTATCTGGCTATAGCGTATGTCATTGTATGACAGTGCATGTATACATGAGCTTATTAAACTGTCATCATACTTCAATGTTATACCTTGACCATTTTGCTGAAAATAAATAAAAGAGGCCTTTTCTCATTTGTAGTCAAAATTTACTATTATTGACTTTACTTTGATTATGTATTTTAGCATTTGAGACATATGTTTGAGTGTGTGTGCATAGATGAAGCATGAGTTTCAGTATGTTTTTAAGCATGATTTAATATCTCATGGGATTTTCCAGTAAGAGGGAAGTATATATGGTCATCGTCAGGAGATTTGAATCTCTAATGCGTGTGTTTTGCTGCACAAAAATTTCTTTGTTTTTAAAACAAAACAATATATATGTATACCCTTGGGGAGGTATATACCTGTCAAATGAAAACGTTAAGATTTGTGAAAGTGACAATGGCATGCATGATGATAAAAGGATTCTCAGATTATAAGTTACACCCCGAAAAAAACTCTCTCTTTCTCTGGTCTCTCTCTCTCTCTTTCTTCTCTCTCTCTCTCTCTCTCTCTCTCTCTCTCTCTCTCTAACTCTCTCTCTCTCTGCTATCTTTATCTTCATAATTCTCTTTGCTTTTTTTTTTCTTCCACTTTCTATTTTCCCTTTCTGTTCTCTTTTCTAATTGTTCTCCCCGTCATATTCAGCCGTTAAAAAGTGAATGGGAAATTTATTCACTAAACAGAACTATTTTTGTAATGATCTTTATATTTTATCATCCCAATTATACATCCTTCCCAACCAGTTCATTCAAAAAGCTAGAGAAACCTATAGAGACGCTGAAAAGAATTTAGGTTGAGTGGTGAGTAGAGGACTAGAGAGTGATGAACAATGTGAGCCCAATATAATTACAAGCATATTTGATGCCTTAGATATTGTATAGTTCGAGTAGAGCCACTACATCTGTTCCTTCATTGAAAGGAACTGGTGATATGAAGATCGAGAGTTATAGAATTAAGTTATTGTTTTAATTTAGCTGGTTTAATTAATTCCCCTCCCCCTCGATCCTGATCTCAGCTGAAACCCTCCCGTACAACCCCAACTCCATCCCACTAAATCTAATTATTTTGAAAATGGAAAGCTAACAACAAACATCTCTCAGTTGCTCTTTCCAACTCTAAATCATCTTTCTAGCTGTCTATAATAACTGTCCCGTCTCTTCTCTTTATATGTGGCATTATTGTATTCCGCCATTTGGCCTTCTCTCATTGGCCAATCCTATTCCCAACATGGCTGCGCCCATTGCACATCTGTGGTGAATTGATCGTCAGCCGAGCTCTCAATTCAGCTGGTAAGATCATCCTTTTCTGCATATATTGTAATGATCGTATATATTTTTACAGTCAGTCTTTGTTGAGTAGTAGTTTAAATGACTTTTGAAGACCATTTTGCTCAATTTCTTTGTGAAATTCGTGAAATGACGGGACAGGCCAGGTTCATCATTTCCAGTGCAATGCAGAGTGAGAGTGCAGTAGGCAGTAGGCAGTAGGCAGTAGATCTACAGTGCTAACGAAAGTGTGAGAAGGTTTGCCATGTTTGCGGAGTGTGTACCGGTACTCGGAGCTCGGCATCGGCACTAGACCGAAAGCTTCAGTCTCTATACCGTCGGTTGTTCCACTGAGACTACGTCTGGCTCCACTAGACCTCCGGTTATAGAGACTGAACGATCGCCTATGGCTATGCCAGCCTATGTTGAAGATATCACGGCTAGATTTTAGCCGTTAGGCCCCTCCCACAAACATGAACAAACTTGCCACGGCCGTATTGTTATGCCCCCAAAATCCCCCAAAATGTCATTTTACCTCGTGCATATCCAATTTTACATTAGACCTAGGCCTAGGCTATAATACATCGGTTCCACTTACTAACTTGATTGAAATAATCCGTTTAATGGTCCCTTTTAAGGAAATTATGGGTCAAAATCGACAAATCTTGCAAGCCGTGTTAAACTCTCGCTGCCGTCAATCTCATCCCTTCTAGTCTACGCCGAAGGCAAAATGATTATGAAGGAAAAACTGTGCGCCATCTACACGTTCGTAATGGCGTTATCACGGTTTTTCCTTCATAATCATTTTTGCCTTCGGCGTAGACTAGAAGGGATGAGATTGACGGCAGCGAGAGTTTAACACGGCTTTCAAGATTTTCAACATGGATGTCGATTTTGACCCATAATTTCCTTAAAAGGGACCATTAAACGGATTATTTCAATCAAGTTAGTAAGTGGAACCGATGTATTATAGCCTAGGCCTAGGTCTAATGTAAAATTGGATATGCACGAGGTAAAATGACATTTTGGGGGATTTTGGGGGCATAACAATACGGCCGTGGCAAGTTTGTTCATGTTTGTGGGAGGGGCCTAACGGCTAAAATCTAGCCGTGATATCTTCAACATAGGCTGGCATAGGCGATCGTTCAGTCTCTATAACCGGAGGTCTAGTGGAGCCAGACGTAGTCTCAGTGGAACAACCGACGGTATAGAGACTGAAGCTTTCGGTCTACATCGGCACTAGTTCAGAATCATATCCAGACTTTGACCCTTAACTCTGGCGTGGAGATACCGAGATCGATACCTTAAAATCTACTAAAACATACCAAAAATCTAAATCTTCATACATTGTAATTAATAATGGTCATGATTTAAAAGTGTTATGTCTTATGACTATGTTTCATTAGTGACAATCTTACCTGTTTCGTGTGAATTTTCTTATCTTTTGTGGAATAGAGTCTAGAATCTATTGGTCCTAAAAAACGAAGACTTTAAGATACACTTTTCAAGGCAAACCGCTGCCCAATAGCATACCAACGGGACGGTGGGGTGTGCGCGTGCGTGTGTGTGAATTAAGTTAGCGACTGTACATGTAGTCTCACTCTCGAGCTCTCAGATCCTCATTAAATTCATGTAAGTAATTCACATTATGATAATGATCATCATCATTACGCAGGCTTGTAAGAAAAGTTGCAAATTAACATGATTTGACATCTCTGCAAAGCAAAGTTGTGAAACTATAGACTCTAGTAGCGTCTATTAACTTCTTCATTTCATCAGGATCATGATTCTGAATAAAGTATTTTTGAATATTCAAAAATAGGTTCTGCAGGAATTTGGAAAAAATCCAATTCAGATCACATTTTTACATTAATTTGTACCACCCTTCCCCAAGTCCGCTCCGCAGAGCTCTATGCGAAATTGCGAAGTAAGTAAACCCAGACGCTGTGTTTCCGGACAGGTTGTGCATCCAGATAGTTTATTAAAGTTGGTGATTTGAGGAAGTTTAGGTTCAATATTTTATAAATCTTCTAAGATTAATGTTAGTCTTTGTAATAAAACTTTTGGAAAAAATAGGCAAAGCACTACCTCCTCCTTTTTTGAAGAACTCTGGATGAGAAACTCATCACTTTTTTTACTTGACCTAATGTAACAGCATAATGTCTTTTAAATGTTGTATTAGACCCTACTTCTATGTCTACAAACCATTTGCAGATTAACGAACACTAGATGTACTTCAACTTTGAGCTTCTTTCACATGCAATTAGAATTATAAAAAATGCTCTCAACTATTTTTTTTCTGTAAATCTCCTCTTTAAGATAATTGCTCTTTGTGGGAAGAGTAAAGACTCTAAAATTACTGATAGATTTGTTCTCTCTCTCCCTACTGTATTTTCCAGGAGGAATCCCTCTGCTGTATCTCTGTGTTCCTGAAGTCTCATTGGAATAGGAATATTCTGGCTCATCTTGATCCTGGCAATTAAGAACAATCTATAAAAAAAAAAAATTAAAAAGAAGAATCTTGCACTGCTGCAGACTGTCTACCGTAATTATAACTACTTCAGAAATGGAGGTGAGGCTGGATCTAAGCTGGAGACTGGTTCTCCCGGTCATCATTGGAATCATGCTGCTGCTGTCATCATGTGATGGAGGCAAAAAGGAGAATGAAGCCATCAAGAAGAAATGTGATACCTGCAGAACAGTCACAAAGGGCTTTAAAGAGGTACATCTAATATTTGGCTGCTTCTTTTTTTTAATCTTTGTTCAAGATTCTTTTGTTTTTTTAAGTGTACATAGCATAATTTAATTACAGGTAAAGAAAATGATAAGACAGTAGCACAATAGTTCCATCTTTCATTTATGTTTATCACATGGAAGGTGTGTTTTGATTAGAATTGCAGAACCATCTTTTGTGTCATATAATTTGTTTTCCTGTACAAATCATAATGGGTATTCAACCCAGGTATAATTTATGGGGGATGTATTTGCTCCAAGATTATTTTCTTTTTGGGTTAAAAATTATGTTGTAAGTAATCTTGCTTGGCTATTGAAAATCAGTTCATAACCATTGTGAATGTCTGCTGAGAGGACTATCAAGTACTCTATGCAAATGTATCCAGTGATACTAGCATTGAATTTAGTTAGATAAAAGATAATTGTTTATGGTTGTGAAACAATGATGATCATTGCTGTTGTGTACAGTAATACCCATGAGTGGAGGACCAATCTCTGCAGTTGTCTTGCTATTTTACATCACTCCCGCTCCTTGCGCACAGAACAGAAAAACACCATTATTGACCCAGGAATAGTTCATACATTCAGCATTCATCCATTTTGTTAAACTTACGCTTCTAACATAAAGTTCTCCTTGCCTATCCTATCCGCAGGGCATGGAACGCACAGCACGTTCTATGTATGAAGGTGGAGATGCTGACTGGGAGGAGAAAAAACTAGGCAGTTATGCTACCAGGTTAGTTGCATTATAATCAATGTAATGTTAACTCATTGACAACTAAAATTCTTTTATTCCCATAGGCTATGTACAGAGACTAGAGAGCACATTATTTGAAGACTAGACAAGAAGAGTCTATTTTATAACAATCTTAGAAAAGGAAACATTAAAATGAGGTTGATGAGAAGAGGGAATAATAAACATAATAACAAGATGAAAGAAAAAGAGAGAGAGAGAGAGAGAGAGAGAGAGAGAGAGAGAGAGATGGAAAAAAGAGGGGGGGGGGACAAATTTTTTTGACAGATTGAGAGAAAAAGAGGGAAGATAGAAAACACAGAAAGTTATAGTAACATAGACACTGAAAGTGACAGAGATAGGGGAGAGGAATGAAACAAAGACATAGAGAGAGACAAAGAATAAATTTTAAAAGGAGGCAGATGTTGTGGTACTATTTTACAAAAGGATAGATATTTTGTTTATTATGTAACAGCTGCTCAGTTTGACCTGCACTAATCCTAAAAGGATCAAACCACCCAAGTCTGCTATAAAAATCAATAGGAGTATGCATTGTTATAGACTCATTGTTAACATGTCTTTGCTGAAGCTTTTTCTTATTAGATTAACTGCTCTAATTTTTCACACCTCAGTACCTCTATTAATGAATGGCTTCAAGTTCAAACTTTGTGTAGGATGTAGAATATAGACTGTGTAAGACAATTTACACCTTTGTGTACAAGTCTTTAAAAAGAGACTACGGTAATCCTGCCATTACCCATAGAGGCTAAATACATTGCGTCAAATCAATCGCAATTTGGTCATGCAGCAACAAAAAATATGCTGTTTACAACACATTAGTATTGACCACTACGACTAAAGATATGCTGTTGAGAGATTGCATCTGTTTGCAAATATATCTTGTACCACTGTTTACCATTCCTGTACATACTTTAACATGTCAAAGGCCCTATACACTTGGAAACTATTTCCACATTTTTTTTCTTTTCTTTGATGGTGCAATATAATATCAGTTAAGCGTTGGTCACATCCCACCGTGCGTGTTTTTAGTCCGTACGGTTTTTGGGGACGCCACGGCCGCTACGTTTTTCTGAAAACGTAGGGAGGGAGTGGCAAAGGGTGTAGAGGTCAGTGGGGAGTACCGGCAACGCACGTCACACGCACTGGGATGAATCGGTAGCCCGAACGCAGCCCGAACGCAGCGAAAGTTCCTCGTGCACTAAAAGTGCTACGGTGTGTCTGCGTGCTCCCAAATCCGTACGGAGTCGGTACTCAGCACGTACGGTTACCCACATTTTGCCCACGTTTTTGCACGTAGACAGCACGCACTTGCAAGTACGGCGGGATGTGACCACCGCATTACTGCCATCTTACATGCATTAATTTACTTTCACTTTCTTTTTCTATCATGCTTACAGTGAAATGAGATTTATTGAAGTTACTGAAAGCCTTTGTGAGAGCAAAGAACATGATGTAAGTAGTAACATTTTTGCACAGGCAAATTAACAGTTAATCAGTTATCTTGATTTCTTGTAATATCGTTATGGCTGTCAATTTTAGAGAACAATTCATATGTATTACGGTATTTGATTGTTCACTTCATTGTGTAATGTCTATACCAGCACTCCAGATTACTTTCCATCCATATTGTGATGAATGAGAGGCCGGTTTAAATGTAGATATTCTAATATTTAAAATACAAACTCTGTTAAAAATACAAGAGTATAGGACATTAAGTTTTGCATAATGTTACAGTAGTTCAGGTGATATACCTTGAAATGTATCTTTACCAACACTGCTATAATATGTTTCATTAAAAGTTAACAAATATTAGTTTTGGAAGATGTTGTTTGCTATGTAGTGGAGATGGGGTAAGCATAGATTCCAATCCTAGTTTGTGATATCACAGCTGGAATCTACTAGATTGGTTCTCTGTATACACTAGGGAGAAAGAGGAAATGTGATAGAATATGTTAAAACTCATGTGAATCATTTTAGCATGCATGTGTGCAGTGATTAGAGATGGAATGCTTTTCAGGGTAAGAATAGATGTGGATGATTTAAAAACACCACATCCAGCTTTTATATGAAACACATGAACAGAATAATGATTAATGTGAAGGCTTTCAGCATTTACAAAAGTCTTATGAAAGAAACAGTTTTAGAAAAATCCAAAAACCTGTTAACTTTTTGATGATTATGATGTATTTCTCTCCCACAGTGTCATAATTTGTTAGAAAAAGAGGAGGAGTTATTAGAACAATGGTGGAAGGAACATCTAGAGACCCCAGACCTCTTCCAATGGTTCTGCATTGATAATTACAAAGGTAACGTTCTATGTGTTTAATAGTGGCATTGCATTTTTGAGAGAGATATTGTCTCAAAATTATCAATTCTGGTTCAATTAGATAAGGCATAAGGACAAGCTGGCTTGGAACTTAATCATAATATCTTCAAAAGTCTCAATAAGAGCATATGAGGGTTAATGATTGAAAATTCTGAATATTTATTGTTATTTCCCTTTGGAAGAAAAAGTGTCTTCAACAAAATTATTCAGATGAAAGCATGATATACGTAAAGTACAAAACAGTAAAAACTGAATTGCCTTTTGAAAGATAAACTGGTTATTTTGGATAAGAGCGATATGAAAAAGTTTATTATATAAATGTAGTCATTTAATTCTTTTCAGTATAGTTATACTTATTTTTTTTCGCATTTACAGGAATCTTACTGATACTTTTTGTCTCTATCCTTCTTCTTTTACAGTTTGCTGTCCTGAAAACACATATGGTCCAGATTGTGAAGGTGAGTTTTCATACAATGTAAACTTGCTTGATATGTGTACAAATACAGATACCTAGAGACTAACAATCAATTTGATCTGATCATTTGAGTTCCCCAATAATCAAGTACGTTTCTTAATGCATAGTGGCTACATGAAATTTTGGAAAAGAATTGTTTGAAGAGATATTAAACTGATAGATGAGTTGTAATGCTTGGTTCTACTTTCAAGTAAAGATTTTTATGCCTCCGTTACGAAGTAGCCGGAGGCATTATGTTTTCGGGTTGTCCGTCCGTCCGTACGTCCCGTTCTCGTGATCGCGTTATCTGAAGAACCGATTGATGGATTCCTGCCAAACTTTGGTCATGTATGTATCTTGCAGAGCCGATGAACTGATTAGATTTTGGGGTCACGAGGTCAAAGGTCACAGGGCTCATTATGTATGCAAAAACAGCTCGTGATCGCGTTATCTGAAGAACCGATTGATGGATTCCTGCCAAACTTAAGTCATGTATGTATCTTGCAGAGACGATGAACTGATTAGATTTTGGGGTCAAAGGTCAAAGGTCACAGGGCTCATTATGTATGCTGAAACAGCTCGTGATCGCGTTATCTCAAGAACCGATTGATGGATTCCTGCCAAACTTAGGTCATGTATGTTACTTGCAGAGCCGATGAACTGATTAAATTTTGGGGTCATGAGGTCAAGGTCAAAGGTCATGCGGCTCATTATGCATGCAAAAATAGCTTGTGATCGCATTATCATTAGAACAGATTGATGGATTCCTCCCAAACATAGATCATGTATGTATCTTGCAGAGCCAATGAACTGAGTAGATTCTTGGGTCATGAGGTCAAAGGTCAAAGGTCATGGGCTCATTATGTATGCAAAAATAGCTTGTGAACGCATTCTCATTAGAACTGACAGATGGATTACTATTTAACTTGGGACATCTTGCAGAGCCAATGAACTGAGTAGATGTTAGGGTCATGTGGTCAAAGATCAAAGGGTCATATATGTATATGAGAAATTGCTTGTAATCACGATATTCTGAGAACCTGTTAATGGATTACAATTGAACTTGAATTTGAACAATTTCTTCTGTTTTGGTTTGTAAAATTGCTCTATGACGGAGGCATCATTTCGACTGCGCGCAGTCGAAGTTCCATCTAGTTATGATAGGAACAAGACATAGATATCAATCACATTTCATTTAAAGCATCTATTTTGGAAGTTACCGTATGTACACGGTCATTTAAAAGAACATGGTGAGAAATGTTCGAATGACGATGGAAACGCCATTAATCGCAACAACAACAACAACTGTTAAAAAATACTTTTTTTCCCTCTGTTACTCTCTTCTTATGTCACCCCACACAGAATGTCCATATGGAGTGGAAAGACCATGCAAGGGAGCTGGGAAATGTATGGTGAGTGTTTATGTTTCAATTCATTTTTCTATTCTGACAGCAATTTAGCTAATAGATTCTGTTAAACCAGCAACTCTCACAAATTGCAAAATGTTAGTGTTGTGTCAGTTTTTTTATTAGTTTTATATTACAGCATGAAACTCGCAAACCTGGACCAATTGCAAAGTTTATGAACATTTTATGTGGGCAAATGTTTCTGGTTTTGCAGTAACAGTCATATGATTTAGAGATATTCACTGTGGTGAAAATGCAGTGTAAATAATCGTTACTACCAACACATATATGATAGTTTTACCTATTGATTGTTATGCGATTGACATTGCTTTCTTTTCTACATACATATACATACATATACCTTGCATTATCTCGATTACACAGGGTGCAGGCACCAGAGGGGGTTCAGGAAAATGTAAATGCAACGCCGGTTATAAAGGAGACCTATGTGATATATGTAAGGATGGTTACTACCAGGTGATGAAGAACGAGACACATACAACATGTAAAGGTATGCATGGGACTGTGGTGTTCAACTTTGCTTTATCTGAACATCAATTTCCTCATATATTTCTTTTTTTTTCATCTTACTGGGTAATTTTCTAGGTTTTTGGAAGAACTGGAAAAAAAACCTTCCTTTGTATTGAGGAAAAAAAGGAAATATTCATTTAATATGTTTTATTTGTTTAACTATATCAATGTGTGATGAAAATATTTGAACTCATGTACTACCAAAAGGATGTGGGAAGAGGGAAATTTACAGTAAATATGGAAATATGATTCATCACTTACTTTGAAGCATGGTGTAACATTTTTTCATATTTGTCATTCAATTTAAGATTTCTAATGGAAGATTTCTCTAGGTGATATCTCTCAATTCTGCATTTTATGTCTGCTTCAATTTTTCAATGTTTGTTTGTATACTATACCTGTATAGTCAGTCATATGTGTGTTCATTTATTTGTATTTCAGCCTGTCATAAGGCGTGTACAGCCCTTTGCACTGGTGGAGGACCTAAAGGATGCAAGAAATGTAAAGTTGGATGGCTGTGGGATGATGAAACTGGATGCCAAGGTAACTATTAAAAAGTCATCTCCTTCATATTAACACTATATATATTAAGGCTTAATAGCATGAACATGATTCTTGTATGATTTAGATTTTTGAATGCACCTATCCAAAATTATCAGGTTTTGCTTTGGAATATGGTATTTTGGTCTGAAAATCCCAGTCCTGTAATGGTATTCATAATCAATTCTGTTAATATGACTATATATGTTAGTTGAATGCTCATTGTATTTCAAATTTGTTTGTCCTCATACAGCTTTAAGATAATTGCTTTCATGAAGAGACTTGGATGGAAAATATTTTCTTTTTTTTCCCAGTAGTTTTTTTAAAATTCTACAGTATTTTTCTCCTGTCTTTTGCACTAAAATGTGCAGATGATGGAGTGATTGTTTCATGATGTTGTTGTACCTTCACAAGTGGAAGTATATTGATCATAGGAGGTTTGATGGCTCAGTGGGGAAGCAGTGATGTTTTACCTGTGAGATTCTTATGTTCTAATCAATTTCGACGGGCTAATACCTTTTAGTTACGTTAGGCATTTATCCTCAATTACTAAATCACTTGGATAGGACTTAAAGCTGTGGTTTTCCTGGTTATTTATCTTCAACTATACATGTTTACCTGCTTTCTTTAAAGGCAGCCAGTTAAAATACATATATCATTATCATCATCATCATTTTCATCATCACTAACACCGTTCATCATCGATTGTTCCTCTTATTATCTTCTCTTTAGATGTTGACGAGTGTGTCGTAGAGGCGAAACCACCGTGCGATATAGACGAGTTCTGTGAGAACACTCAGGGGTCCCATAAGTGTGTTGCCTGTCATGGCGCCTGTGATAGCTGCCTAGGAGAAGGCAAGGATAAGTGCGTCAAATGTAAGAAGGGCTATGAGATGAAGGAAGATGGTTGCGGAGGTAAGTTCAAGTTGAATTTAAATTGTGAAGCATAACCTTGACTGTGTACTGAACTCACTTTTTCTGAATATTCCTTAACCTTAATAAATGTGTTTTGATGATAGAAATGACATGATATTGCACACACTTACCTTGACCTACAAAATGCTCCTATTAGGATGACCTTAGTTACTTAGCCCTAAGCCACTGAAAGTACTCAAAGAATTCCTAACAACTACCAGGGTACTAATTTACTTCTTATGATTTGAGAATAGTAAATGCATTATTTTTCTGCCAGGGAATTAGAGTTTGGTATGATACCAGGGAACTAGTAAATTCCAAGAAGTCCTATATAATCTCTTTTTCCCTATAAACTAAGCAAAATATGTTCCTCTGCCTACAATAATTCTGATTTGTACAGCACTCAATCGAAAATACAGTCTTTAGGCACTTTACAGATGTTATTACCCAGGTAATGCCTTGCCAAAGGACATAAGTGCTGTGTTGGGGATCGAACCCACGACATTTGCATTTCAAGTCAAGTGCTTAAACCCCTGGATTATGACAACTATACTATATCCACTGTATCTGTTTGTGGTCTACAGTGACCTTTAAACATGTTTGAAAATCAACCCCATTTATCCTGCAGATACCGATGAGTGTGAACAAGAGAATATATGTGAAGAGGAACACATGGAATGCCATAACGTGCCTGGAAGCCACTACTGTGACTGTGAAGATGGCTACGACAGAGTCGGCAATGAATGCGTAGATAAAGCCCTTTGTAAGTATCAATGACACTTTACTTTTACTCTCTTAGTACATGTATCTCAGTACGGGGGCTAGGAACAGTACAGTAAGACCCAGAAAAAACAAAACCGATAATTATCGATGTTTTATCATAACTTAATCACAATTATAATTAATAAATGACACATATTTGTAAAGCTTAGATCCTCCTCTTTCATTTGATGCAACTTCGAAATTCAGATACCGCCCGCTAAATGACTTTTTGGTTTCCTTCCTTCAAATTGCTTTTAATCACTCATACGTGAAATATGCATCATATGAGTTGCATCAAATGAAAGAGGAGGATCTAAGCTTTACAAGTATGTGTCATTTATTTATTATAATTGTGATTAAGTTATGATAAAACTTCAACAATTCTCGGTTTCATTTTTTCTGGGTCGCACTGTATATTGTTGGTATGTGTGTTTATGTTACCAGTTATGGAAATGTCTTTAAGAATTCATGGGTTAAATGCACAATGAAAATGGGGGAATCAGAAACCACAATCCTAGAATTGATGCTCCGGGATGACACATGTTTATTTTACCTCGGCTGAGCAGTTGCGTTAGATCAGCAAGTATCCAATATGTTTATGCTGCATCAAAGTTGCATGGAGCATTATACATTACTTTGATACAAAATGCAAATATTTCACAACAAACCACAGCAGAAAGAAAGAAGAAAAGATATCACTTCTTGGTGTGAGCTTGTATTTGTTGCAGTACAGAACAATGGAATTGAAACAAGCGAAGCAATGAATACTTAAAATTTGTAACATTCAATAAAAAGCTGTATATTGTTTTCCCTAATACATACAGTAAGCACTTTTTTTTTTCTTCTCGAAGGTTGGTTCATGAAAACAAAATTCATGTAAGCTTTAAAGCCCCTCTGCACTACTTATAGCTACTTGCGCCCTCTATATAGCAAACAATGCCTAAGCGGTGCCTGTTGGTCCCCAATGATCTCCTTTTTCTTATGTTAATTGAGAGCTGATTTGATGAGATAACCACCTATCAGTGACCTTGCAGGGAGGTCTACTCCCCTAGCCAAACTAGTTCAGAGGGGCTTTAAAACCTGCCTACTGGCGATGCCTAGATGCACATGAAAACCTTTTTCCTTTTTCAAATATTTGTTGATAATAAAGAGTGTTTGATCTCCATCCTTCATGTCTATCTCCAATTTTTTTTGTATCCTCTTCCCTCAACAGTCCAAGGTAAGGGAAAAACATTTGATCCTAAACTTAGTCTAAAAGGTGAAGTACTGGTCTATCTCATGTACTTCTTCTTGTTTATTGGGACTGTGTTAGCTTCAAGGAATAGTCCCATTATGGCCGCCATCTTTGCTCTAGGTCTTGGCAGCTGGTACATCTCTCGATTTCTCTACCCCGAAGGTGACGAGGGGTCGTGACACGAATCTTCTTCTTTAGCTTTTTGTAAAACAAAATTCACTGCTTTGGAATTATTTATTGCTGTTGGAATCAGCGCACATACTGGTATGTGTGGTTAGGGTTGGATTCCTAGGAATGTCGGTGGTCTGTGATCAACCGATGCGGAATTCATGAATATTTGTAGATGGCTTCCATTTTGTACGGCTTGTATACAGTCGCAGATCAGGGGACCGTTTCACAAAGCCTTTTTCCAATGACAAATGACAAAAATCAATGACAACTCTACTGACAACCAATCAGAAGCAAGGATTTCAGTAGCTTATAACAAAAACTGTAATTTGTCACTGATGACAAGTTTTGTGAAACGCCCCCCAGATGTACGGTCTGCACTCTGCAGTGAGCTTATTACCAATGATATCATTCAGTATATGAAAGCTAGGTGTGTATTTGAGTGTTGTGTATGAGTAGGCCAGTGTATTAATAACCATGAAGGGCTGCAGTGTATAATATAAACAATGATACTGAATATTTGAATGAATTTAAAATGTGCTGTCAATATCAACATACAGAGGAAATTTGCCATAGATATGCATTAGCATTGGAAGCCTGTAGACATTCCATGTTATATTAAAACAAACCTCATAGTTTAAAAATAATACGCATTAAGGACTGTAGATTCTTCAGCACACTTCCTGTTTGTGCAGTGTAAATGATAAATAATCAACCTAAAATATTCTACCCTGCAGATAGGAAAATTGATGGAGTGAATAAGCCTAAGTACTATATTTATATTTATGTGTGTCATGGAGTATGGTGAGAAATGTATCTTAACTGTACAAGCTGCCTTAGATTTAGATTCCCTTGAATGATTGAAACTTTGAAGGTATTATTTAGTACAGATTTGCAAATGATAGGCCTATATATTAGAATCATCTTATTGGACACAAAAAGAAATGTGGTGTAAGACCTATTAATATTGATTATTATTACATGATTTGAGAGATGAAGCACCTGTCTGTATCAACAATCAAAAGTGCAGTACAATTATTTCATACAGGGTTTGTTTTGTACCTAGTGATTATCATGAAGTGAGTGGAACCAATCGGGAAATAAAAATGGTATCAGGAAATGTTATTATGTGTCTGATCATATCTCTTGTAACAGATATATACATTTGATGTTAAAATATATAGCGTCATTTACAGTGACATTGCATAGTTAACTGATTACATAAAATGCAATATTGATATCTTCCTGTTACATGTGTTTTTTTGATATGCTAATTGCTTGTTAAGATATATGAAATTCAATATTTGTCGATAGGCTGACTTTCCACGATTAAAAAATAAAGTTTTCTTTGTAAAATGGGGACACCTAATATTTCCAGGCCTTTTGTGATTGTAAAAAAAATATGTACTTCCTAAATACTAATGAATATTATGTACTTTGTGAATTTAGATTTAAAAATATAATTTTGTTTAGTTTCAAAAATAATATTGCATTCTGTCAGAGGTATTGACGGCCATTTGCAAATGTGTATTCTTTAAGAAATTATGCAATAATGATAGCAAAACCAAATTGACTAGAAATACAACTTTAAGTACATGTATTCTGAATTTTATATGAATATATCAGTACTTGTCTCCCATGTATTTTATGAGATGTGTGGATTTATGTTTGGATGAGAATTTGAGCAAGTTTTGAGGTTCTCTTTTAGGGTTTAGAAATGGATGTACACCACTTTCACAAACATTTTTTTTTTTTCCTTATACAGTTTTATACTCTCAATATTTTTTTCTTATGTGTTTGTGTGTGTACAGTTCTACCCCTTAAATAAACCACATAAGTACATACTTTGATGTATCGCAAATAAGGTCAAGTAAACCTCTTACATTCAAGAATTAGAAGAGTTGAGGAACTCTCTGTGCTGTGAATTCACTGAGATTGTCAGGGATGAAAACTATTTGAAATTTTGGTCGGATTTTGAAGGGAATAAGGCAGTAATTACATTGATCATTTTGTTTTGACAAATCAAAAGCACACTATTGTTCAACTTTTTTACTTTTTTGGCCCATTGTTAGTTGTTACATTCTGCGGGATTCTGAGGCATTTTTATATGCCTTTTCCAGATGTTGCGTTAGTTTGGTCGCTTGCAGTGATTTAATTGCACTTCTGAGAGCAGCATCAGCCTTCAGATCATATTTATTATCATGTATAACATCTAGTAATTTGTTTGTTTACAATATTTACCCGACTTCCATATTCTATATTGTGTATAATAGTGATATTTTGCATGGAAAATGTTGTTTATGTGATGATTTTTATACCAGTTTGAAGTTGGTTTTGTAGTTGTGTGTTATTGTTTTGTAGCAAGAAGTCAGTTTTGATGTGTTCTATTAATATAGATGTACCCTAATATGTTTGTGTTTCTTTCTGTGTTTTTCCTCTACCCCCTTCTGTGTTTCTGCATGTAACACCCCTCCAGCTAACAATGAAACAGACCAGGCATCTGAAGAATCATCAGAGAATTTGGAATCTACCACCGTTGAAGAGGGGGAGGTCGGTGCTTCCAGTGGTGACCAACAGGCAGTATTAACTGATGGTGCGAAAACTGATGAGAAAGAAACCAATTTCGATAATTCAGAGTTTAGGGAAGATTTACCAAAGGAAAAGGATGATGAGATTTTAAAAGCTGGTCAGGAGATTCCAAATCCTTCTGATGATTCAGAAAATATGCCAACACCACAAAGTCTTCGAGAAGAATTATGATGGCATTTTACGATAGAAATGTAATTTATTTAATGCAGATTATTTCATGGCATAAGAATATCACAGTAATGTACATCAGTACATGTATTGTTTTATAGACAGTTGTATTTTGTAAAATACCCTATATGGGCATCATGTGCCTTTCCAGTTGATTGAATTTGTGAGTTTTGGTTGTCACGCTCAGCTAGCTAGTTTCTCTATTTTCCATTACAGTTTGATTAAAGGCTTTAGGGTGGGTTAAATTATGGATTCAGAGGGGAAAATAGATAAATGTTTCATGTTTGTATTTATATTATGTATGCCTCGCATGATGACCCAAGTACTGTATGTCTGCATGATTTGGAAGATTTTTTTCCCCAGGTAGGTTGTGCATTTTCTGGATGAAATTCAAAATCCCACATTTAATATCTTTTCAACTGGATTGTAGTAAATTATCAAACTTTCTTTTTTTCCATTCAAATGTTTGTTATTCTTTCAAAAGTTTGTTTGTAATGTGATTAGTAATTCTGTTGAATGTAGTATATCTGTTGAGAGCCAGAAGGGCATTTACTCTGAGAGTGTATGAGTTAAAGATAAACTCCAGTTCTGGTAAAAAAAAAAAAAAATTAATTCTCACAGAATCAAACGAAACTTACACTGACTGTTCAAGATTACAAATAAATGACATGTCCCAAACAATTTTGGAAGAAAATGTATACTGGCCGAGTAATGAGCATAGAAAGACATGGAAATCAAGTAGTACTAGCCCCGACACCATGTGTGTTGTCCCATATATAGCTTTCTGTGTACAGTGCTTGTTACTTTACCAAGACTCGGCCAAATTTATGATGATTTTGATGACTCCAGAACCTTGCAGTGCACACCAATACTTACATGCTACATGATCAACTGTTTCTGATCCATTCCACACCTTTTCTTTCACAATGCAATCGCATGACCAGAACTCACCTTTATCTTTAACGCCCTTCCAGCTCCAAACAGGGCCAGTTGCATAAAACTTACCATTGATTGTAACAGGGCTCAACTGCCAATCAAGATCAAGGTTTCCATTGTAGTTACCATTGATGGCAAAGTTACCATCAATGGTAAGTTCTGTGCAATGGGGCCCAGGTGATAATTACGTACGGTACCCAAGATGTATTCTTAAAATCAAGGATAAGAACAGTACGGTACTCTGGCAATATTGCTGTAATGAGTTAAGGGTGTATCAATTTTGTATCTTGTCAACGTTCATTTTGTACTGGCCGTCTTGGGAAATTAAAGAATACTATGTGAAAATTAGATCTTGGTATTTTTTGTTTTGCTGTTATATTTATAATCTATAGAAAAACTACATACACCTAGTCTCTTATACCCACCCCATCATGTTTTGCAAAACAATAGATGGCAGTCCTTTTTTTAAATTTTTTTTTACTTCAGTTGACATAATTTTTTTCAAAACCTTCACTCGCCAGCAGTTATGTGTAAAACCATCCCTAGGTATGTGAATGTCTTGAAATCTGATTGAATGTGGTCTCACAAACATAAGGTGTGGTATTTAATCGCTACAAATTTAAGAACCGTATTGAATTTGATATCAGAAGAAAGTGGTCTAATAGAAGTTTCCAGCAACATTAGTACCATTGTTGTGCTCAACTGGAGAGCTGCCAACCTGTATATTTTTACCTTTTATATAGAACAGGATTTTTCTCTTTTTTTAATATAACTAATAACAATATTGCTGTATGTTTTTCTTTAGAGACCTGAAATGAAAACTTTGAAATTCATATTTTTTTCATGCAACAAAATTCTGCAAGATGTTGAAAAAGGGAAGGATTTCCTTTATGTGATGAAACAACAAGGTTTTCTGGCCATGAAGGTTGGCAGCTCTCTAATATTATTTTGCTACTTCAGTTTGTACACACACTCCTAATCAAGTCAACGCACGAAACAACATCCATTTACAGAGAGACTACATTTTATTTCCACTCTTTGCAAAATATGTGATAACTTTGAAGGAAATGAAATATAGATTTTGTTTTTACACATACATGAACACCATAACAATGAAAATATGTACTGCTAGAACAAGGACCGGCCTAAATACTGATAGTTTTCACCCTGAAAATTTGCAAACTTTCACTTTTGTTTAAATTGGGGAAAAAAATTAAAATGAGAAAAGTGAGGCATGTCAATGAAGAATGTGTTCTGTACCTTTTCTCCCCACAGCCTCCAGTTTCTTGTTCTAGCAGTACACAATAAAAATGTAAATAGTTTACGCTAGGTATACATTGGTTAACACAGAAACTCGGCATGCACTTCAAAACTTTACACTAAAATTTGGCTGTGCATTTTGCACTGCACATTTACATTTCATCATTCCCATGCAAAAGAAGATGGAGAATAGTGTGATATTATCAAATTTCAAAAAACTAAATTAAAAAAAAAAAAAAAATCCTGTGATAATTGTGCTATGTAGATAGCTTTATGAAACATTGGTGTACACATATATATCAAAATATATTTACAGCTTGTGTCACGTGCCAATACAGGTCAAACCATTTTTAAGTTTGTTTACTGGAGCCCCTATATAAATACATGTACAACAAATCCATACTTTCAACATTTTAAAACTGGATTTCATGTCATGTGATGTCTGTACTGAGTGAGTTTTGTTTTCTAAATTGAGCTAATAACTCTAAATTTACAATTTCTTTACTGGCAAATAAAAACAAGCTAAAGAATATCAAATAGTTCTTTTCAAACCCTCCGTAGTCAAATAATAATGATAATATCCATTCAAGAATTCTTGGACTGTAAATGCATTGAGTAAAATGAAAAGCATTAGCATCTAGAGCATGTAAGACATGTTTGTATCTTTCCATCAGCAACTAGGATTGGCACACATTTTTATGGAAACAATATAGTAGCCAAATGAATAATAATCATACACAGAGAATCTGTTTATTTAAAATATAAGGACAGTAGTTGACAGGTGCAAAACTGTCGGTATCTAAAAAGATTAAAAGAAATGGGTCATCACAATCATCCATGGCATTCTCTTTAACAAATGCATCACCAATCAGAAAATAAGAAATCATTGTCTTGGTGTTAGTACGCAAAATCAAGCATTTGACAATCGGTTTTTCCCAACTTCTGTTGTCTATTCTTATTTTACACAATCATATATACACTAAAAGGGCCATTTGTTGCTTTGATAGCAATACAAATGAAGCTTACAAAAATCAACAATATTTCGCTTTAGCTTTATGTACATATGTACCATAGAAAGTATTTACAATGTATGAATTCACAATATAATCAGCTACAATGTACAACAACTGAAGGAGAATTCATTGGATAACATATTTTCAAGATGCAATATATACGGAAACCATCATCATGCCACCATGCCTTCAATAAACAAGATAATAACAAGTTGACAACAAATAGAAATACATGGATTATGAATGTGGAATAAAAGGGGCTATTTTAAAGAAACAATATATTTTTAGAACAGTTTTCAAAGAAACAGTTTAATTATGTCTTCTATCTTATTATTATGATAAAAATGGTTCCAAGGAAATAATGCACATCAAAATTATACCACTTCAAGGAGAGAAAAAATGAGGTATACAGATGTATTGAATGATGTAACATTTGTGGTTTTTCTATTGTTTCCTTAAAGGTAATCTTGAGTTTGGGGATGACCAGAAAACCAAGATTTGCACAAAATCCAGAACAAATGTACTATGGATGTTAAAAGACACAACAAATTGAACAATATATGTATCAATAAATGTAATGTATAATGTTAAACAGCCAAGTAAAAACTAAAGAATGAAAGGGCAACAGGCATGCAGGGATTTCTATGAATAAATTTGGCCCTCGTGTATCAATCTGACTTAGTAATTTCAGGGTATATGGTTAATATATATTTTAGCTATTTTGTATTATACTGGTCTTTGAAACCCCAATGACGACTCCATTGCACAGGGAGTTGACAACATTTTCAATACGAGAACTCATGACCACCATGAAAAACAAATCTATTATCCTATGTCCATAGCAACACTCTTTGCTTACGGTAAACCATAGCAAACTGGTAGTGGCAACATCAGAGAAAACAGAAGAAAAATCCAACCAAACTTTATTACTGTTTGACACAGAATTGGGTATTCCATACTTTTTGCACTACCATGACTGATAATTCTTTAAAAAATTGGATCTAAAGATATGGAATGAATAGCTAGCACTCCCAATACAGGACGTGATAGTAGCAATGTTCACTCATGTTTGAAGGTCATGTGAAAATAATCCATACCATTGCATTTACAAAATATGACAAACAATCAATCAACAGATGTTCACCTAAGAGCATTAAAAATTGAACAGTCTTTCATAAAGCTTTATTTACATTTTATTTTAGCACTGAAATACAATTACAAAATTAAACAAATGTCGTGACTCGTAATAAAATAGATTGGGGAACAGATTTTCATAGGTATTTAGTCTATCAAGGGGAGTAAGGAGCTCTTATTTTCCTCTTTCGCTTGCCCTCTGATTCTGGTTCCGCTTCTGCTGGCCTCTTTTTGGGGGTTCGTTGATCTTCTGCGACCATAACAACTTGTGTCGTCCCTCCATCCTCTGTTGTGACAACTTCGGTCGTAACAACAACGGTCGTCATTTCGCTGTCGCCCATGTCGGTCATGATCTGAGTGGGTACCATCTCGCCTTGCAGGTCTCCTCCTCCTCCTCCCTGCATGGTTCCATCTAACACCACCTCCTGCTGAACAATCTCCTCGTGGATAATCTCTTCTCCTGGAACCTCCTGGACCTCCTGGACCACATGCTCCTGGACCACTTGCTCCTGGATGATCTCCTGTGGAACCACATTCTGGGTGACTATTGTCTGCTGCCCTCCTGGAGTCTCCTGGATGGTGACTACCTCATGGACAGCTTGCTCTGGAGATACGGTCTGCAGCATCGTAGAGGTCACGACCTCCTGTGGAATGGTCTGAGTAGAGGTGATTATCTCTGTTGGAAGGACATGCTGCAACAGCTGTGCAGCCATCATCTCAGGATCCATTTCTTCCTCCGTCACAACTTCTTGATGGACAATCTGGGTGGGTACCCCATCCATCATGACTTCTTTTATGTTCATGAAGCCTCCTTGACCCGACGGCTCCACCATGATGGGCACCCCTGATGAAGCATCCGAGACGGGGATCACCATTCCTTCTTTGCTGACCTGCAGGACAATCTGGTTGTTATCCTGGGACAGGACTGTCACCTCCTCTGGTCTGGGAATTCTCTTCCGTTTCAAAGAGGACTTCATCTGCTCTGACGTCTCCGACATCTGTTCCGCAATCTTCACCATCTCAGAGATGACAACTTCTGAACTGCTCCTTTTCCCTCCTTTCCCATCGTTTTGCCAGTTGTCATCCATCACCGCTTCCTCAATCACCACTTGATGCTGGCTCCTCTTACCGCGACCTCTGACCCTCTCTGGTTTGGCCATGATCTCGTCTTCCTCATCACTCTCTTCTAGGAGATCCTCCTCACTCTCTCCATCGCTAGACTCGTCAACCTCCTCCTCGCTCTCGTCATCATCGCTCTCACTGCTTCCTTCATCATCGCTTGTTTCATAGCGCTCGGCACTTGGCAGGACTCCATTCTGTAAAGCTTCTACCTCATCCATTATCTGTAGAGTAAGGAAGAAGTAGATGATACTTTTTAATGATTTCAAAAACTCATTTAGTCTCTCGTCTCTAGGTAAGAAAAGTCACAGCAATATTCACTGCATCGTACCTCTTCGAAAGTCACCTGTGTACTGATATGTGTACATGTATATCCCACATAAAATGCACGCAAAAATATTAACTTGAGCTCAGAGAGACTGAATTTGTAATCAATTTCAGGGAGCTTTTGATCGTCTTTGAGATTATAGCTTATGGAAATGCTAATACCATTATTATTGTGCTCAATGGGAAATATCTGTATAAAATATGGCTGGGAATTTCGGGTACATTTTTAATTCGGTACCCGCTTACATTTCGGGTCGGTACCCGGTTAACCTGAAAGTGATACATTAAAAAAAATATGCTAGATCAACAACCGTTGAAAAAAACTGAGAAAGGGAGAATACAAGCGGCCATTTGGAATCATGCAGGATGAAAAAAATCAGGAAAAGAACCTTGATATGGGAATAATAAAATAGCTTTCTAAAAAATTCTTCTTCACAACATACCCATCAAATAATATTTCTATGGAGACAAATATTTTCTCCTATTCTAAACTTTGCACGCTTCTTTTAAAAGCTGATATTTACTAAGTAAGCACAACAAGTTTTGATACACATCGCTATTGCAAAGGCAAATTTGGACCAGTAACGGAAGGAATGCGCAATACACTTCATAATAGCTGTAATGCGTACCGAAACAAACTTAAACAAATATACATAATAGTACCAAAATATTATTCAAAACTACGAGAGCACAATGGGAAAGACAAAATTACCAAATTACCCCAAGCAGATACATACACTGTAACTTGGGCAAAAAATCCAATAGTTGTCCAAGAAATGCCACATAAATAGTGATATAGGAGTAACTAGGTGAATTTTTATTGGAATGAGCTCGATACAAGGAACATGCACGTGTACTGTGTATGTTGATCATGAGGCTAGAATACACGCTACTGCCCTCTACGGTAAAAAGCAGTATAACAGTGGATAAGAGAAGAGTCATTAGATACTTTCAGCAGACTCCTTTAGATAAAAAATGTACCAAGTAACTCGTCATATATCACTATTATTGTGTCATTTTTTGAAAGAATGTTGAATTCTTTGTCCAAGTTATGTATCTGTTTACGGTATTTGGGAGTAGTTGTTGCCCTTTCCAATGTTTTTTCATAGTTTTGAATGATATCTTGGTAGGATCATGTATATTTGTTAGGTTTTGTTTCAGCACACATTACAGCTAATGAAGTGCACTGTGCATTCTTTCTGTGACTAGTCCAAGCTTGCCCTGCAACAGCGATGAGTATCAGAAATTGTTATGATTACTAAGTAATTATCAGCTTTTAAAATGAGCATGCGATGTTTAGAATAAGAGAAAAACATTTATTTTGCCTTTTTATTATTCAATCAGTATTTTGTGAAGAAGATTTTTTAAGAAAGCCGTTTTATTATTCCAACATCGATGATTTTTCATCCTGCATGCATCAAAATGGTGGCTCCTATGTTCTCTTTCTATTTTTGCCCGTTTTTTACTTTCAAACTTGGATGAAAATGATGTAAAATAGGAGAATATACTGAGCCGAGCTACGCATGTGTTAATTTATTTGACTGATAAAAAATAGCTAACTTTTAAGAAATTAAAAGCCCTATTTTTCATTGCCATCCAATTTCAGGAGACGAGTAACTAAATTTGTTTTACTCGGGATCCAAGGCTTTAGGGCGTGACCCGGTTACCTGGTTTTTAGTCCCAGACTCCCAGCCCTATATATAATTGAGAGAACACCAATGGCAAACAAAGATCATATTACCCTACCTTGTATTTTTGTTTCATAATCCTGTCTCCTTTGGTGGTCTCTCCTTCTAACCATCTAGCAGCATCCATAGATCCGTGCCTCCTCTGACTCACCCCAAGACGATACAACTCATGAAAGATCTGTCCAGACAGATGCCAAGAAATAAAATTACATCCAGTTTTAATTATACAATCTTTAAAAGTTATCATGATATGCTCAATCTACAAAATTATTTGAAATAGGCAAATGCACTTTAGCTTTTTATTATGGCATGACCTCTGGCAGAGTGCCACATGTTACATTTCCTTTGGATGTTCATTCAAAAAGTTAACACTTGCAGCTTGCAAAGATACTTTGAAGGATAACAAATGAGAATTTTGAGACAAAAATCTAACTTAACAAGAATTTCAAGACCCAAAAATTTCTATGTGCCAAAATAATAATCCCCTATCCACCATCTTAAGGAAATAAAATGCTTGCATATTAAAGGCCCACTGTACCACTTGTAGCTACTTGCTCCCTCTATATCGAAGACAATGTCTAATCAGTGACCATTGGTCCCCCATGATCCTCTTTTTCTTATGTTAATTGAGAGCTGAGTTGATGAGATAGCCACCTGTCATTGACCTTCCTGGGTGGCCTAATCCCTCCTAGCCAAACTAGTACAGACGGCCTTTAAGGCTTACTGTATACATACCCTCTGCCGGCATCCATGGCGCCAGAGCTGACCACCAATGAGACTCGATAGATACTGAAACTTGCGCTCGCGACGAGTGAAAAGTGGAATGGTCATTATCATACCAAGTCTGCCTCTGTTGGACGATTCGTAGCTGTCAGGGCTGAGCAATGAGAGGAAAAGGCATACAATTGATAATCAACGTGGCTTGATGGCTGTAGCAATAGCAGTATGTTTTCAAGGCCCATCGAAGAACAGTTTACTATGATGCTTACAATCTTTCTGCAATCGGTAGTAAATAATTAAGTACCACATATAAAAGTTTGTTCTAGTGACGTTAATTTTTCAAATTAAATTGACAATCATCAGAAGAATATAATGAATCATAGATATATCATAACACCCATAATTCCCCCCCCCCCCCCCCCCCCCCCCCCAACTTGCTTTGTGCTACCACAAAATGCCTCAAGGTATGCAAAACAAAACAAACAAAAATGAAATAAAAATTATTCCATCCATGCTCATAATTTGCCATTTTACACAAGGGCAGTCCAGTCAGTTTGGGTAACCTAAAAAATCCAAATTATCGTCTTCCACTACTCTTCCAGTATGTGTAAGACAGGATTGGCAAGGATCAGTATTGTCGATAAGGACAGAATGGGTGCAAAATGACACTGAGAGAAAATCCATAGGATGCTACTAAATATTTTATAGACCCTGTGAAGAAAAAGAAATTGTACTCACTTGTTGATGGTGTACTGTTTGTTCTTAGGGGCCAGGGCTGCCATACATGACATGTAGAATACTGGCATCTCCTTCTTGAACTCAGCCAGAATATGTCCCCAGGCTGACTCGGTGATGCGATGTGTCTTGTCTCCTGTAGCTACGATCTGTGGACTGGGAAAGCTCAAGGGTTTCTTCACAAACCTCTGAACTTCTTTGCGTACCTCGACTTCCACCACTGCCGGCAGAGCACTGCGAACCGAAGGGCTGGTGAGAAGGGCGCTCAGGGCTCTGGCATGGTTGAAGGTCCGCATGTAGGTCACCACCTTCTGCAGCAACGGCTCATTCTTGGGCACCTTGGCTCGCTTTGGACCACCCCCCTTGGCATCAGATGCAAATTCGACAGGCTCGGTGTTGACCCCAATGCTCCTGAACATTGTGCCAGACGTGTTGGAAGAGAAGACGGCCCTCGATTCCCAAGCATCTTTCTTACCTCTGGCTCTTGTGACTTTAATCTCTAGCGGCTTGCGTCCAGATTTGGATTTTCCTTTTGGGCTCCTGGTACTGGGTCTCCCTCTATTGCTGGAGGAGGCTGCGGTATTCTTCGCCTTCGTATGCCGAGATTTAGCTCTGGATTTTGCCATCGTTTCAAATTATATCTGTTCATAAATAAAAAGAAAAATGGTCTAAAATTAAAATAGAAAAAAAACGTTTCACAAGAATGTGTGATGTCACCCCTTCCCCTCAACAATAATCCTTTTAAGTGTACTCTACCCCAGCCTGATAAGAAAGAAATACTTAACATTCTCCCTCATTTGTAACTTCTTAGAACAAGAGTGCCCTTTTGTTACAGCTACAAATGATAAAGATCTACATGTACATGTATGTATGGGATGAGTGAAATCACCTACCAGTTATCTGAAAGAAATGTCTACTTCTTCTTTTTCTTTTCTTGCTTTGGTCTTTTTACTTGACTCTGAGATAGTTGAACTTCTGCAACATCAATGTCATCAGTTTCAGCAGCAGTCTCCTGTAACTCCTGTTTAAAAGAAAGAAAGTTACAGAAATAATTAGAAACTCTGCATTGCATATTTGGAGGATCTTGGGAGTTGGGAGAAACAATTGGCTGATGCAAAAGCAATTTGTTGTATATTATTTCAATAAATAGTAGTCTTTTTAGTTTTACATTGTCTCCGGGGGCAGGGTTATTTTTCTATGGTGTGAGTAGTTTCACTGTACTTTGATGGATGACTAACTTTTCAGATTTTCCAAGTTTCATCTGTTGATATCAGTGTCCTCCATCAAAATAAGTGAAAATGACTATACTTAAAAAAAATTAAAAAATAAAGAATACAATTGAGAAAGAAAAGTAGGAACCAAAGAATGAGAGCACTAGGAAAATAAGGGAAAAGGAGAAAATTGGAAATGGGGAGAAAATGGAAATAGGTATAAGAAAGTTCAGGAAAGCAATAACATGAGAGAGAGAGAGAGAGAGAGAGAGAGAGAGAGAGAGAGAGAGAGAGAGAGAGAACACACTGTAAAGGAAACATATCAAGAAAAACACTATGAATGGAATACAATAGGAAAAGCAAAAATTAAATGGAAATTTAAAGAAAAAGAGAAAGAGAAATAAAATAAAATACATGAATAGGATGAAGCAAAATAGCTAAAGAAGGAAACAAGAAAGAAGGAACCCACTTGACATGAATAAGGATCAATATATGTTTTGTTATTGAAAAAGAAGAAATAGAGCAGAATAAACAGAAATGAAAATATAAAGCACAGAAAATCAGTAAACAGAAATATGATAGAAATAAAATATAAAATAAATTATAACAGAGAAGTCAGAGATAAGATTGTGTAAAAGAAATCACAATGGAACTACAAGAAAGTAAACAGAATTGAAGGAACTTAAAGACATGAATAAAAGGAACATGGTTGAAAACAAAGTGTAAGGGGAAAATGGGAAGGGTAAAGTAGGGAAAAAAGGAGAAAGTAATTGTGGAACGGAAAAGAAAAATGTTTTACTGGGGGATGAAATAAAAAAGCAGATAAAATAACCAAGACTACAAATAACAAGATAAACACAAAATTGAATTACGATTTTACGTAATTAAATTAAGTTTTTAAAGTTCTAAAACTCCTCGTCACAAGGCCAAACTTGTTTTCACAAGTTAGTATCAAGCCCGGATTTGCACAAATTTCATTCCATCCAAAATGATCAAAAATCCAAAATAATAAATTATTTTTATTTTCCTTCTCAACAGTCAACTCACTACATTCATTGATGGTCATTAAATTCTAGGAATGATGATGGCAGTTTCTGGCTTTCAAATGATGTTAAAATAATAATGTTGAATGATTGAGTTTTTGAAAAAGTTGACAAAGTCAAACTCAAAATCAAACTTGAAACCTGGGCAAAAACAAAAACATTGTTTTTATTAAACTGAAATTTCTTTTAAATAACTTTATAAGTCTATCAAATGATCATGCAAAAATTGTGATATTTTGTCATTAGTCATTAAAACCTGTGTTCAACAGCAATAATTAAATTAACAGAACGATTTGGCTGCAGGCAGAGTAAGGCATTGCAAAACTAAAGATGCACACTGCACAGCCACTGCACTGTACTGCGCAACAACTTCTGCGGGCATTAACAATGCATAGACCCGCCTATAGCAAATCACGTGTGTGTTTCCGCGCCTTTAGTCCCATGCGTTATAGATTTGTGTGTGTTGCTCACATATTTGCTGTAAAAACACGTATAAAAACATGACATATAGTAATTTACCTTATCCGATGTTCTTCTTGGTAGTACCAAAATAGACAATATTGCAACAATCTGAAAAATTGCACCTAAGAAGAGACCAAATTTTAGGACGATATCAACGGCGTCTACAGAGTAGGTTACAGATTCATCCACCATGATGCGAAGCATGACCTTTGACCGTGTTGTTGGGCTAAAGGGCTACGTTCATTGATAATCTAAGGGGGTAACGAATATCTTAAACTTTGAACTCAAATGACGAACATTCTAAAAGAACCGACGCTAGTTTACTTATTTATTCTCAATTAAGTGATGATCAAAATACTTTCAATAATATTCATCCCTTCTGTCTTTTCTGTGAAAATGCAACATTTTCCACCCTCTTAGTACTCAATTTTTTTTACCCCTAATTTTATAGTGGATCATCCATAGTCATTTAAATCGTCAGCGCTTCATTCAAATCACTGATCTGAATGCGGAATATAGCAGGTAAACGTGCATGTTTTCCTTCTGTAAAATCTTTAATTTTGTTTTGTTCAGTGTAATTGTTATTTCTATCTCTTATGTATTTTTTGGAGATGTGTTTCGGTAAAATGCTGGAGTGTGTGCCTTATGATTATGCCGTAACTAAAATAATAGTCGCTGCTGCTACCGAGACCTGAGTGTGTGCATATGTGCCCGGCTAGCTAGGTCCAGCGCGTCCATAGCCTAGGTGCCGTGGCCGCGGGCGCGGCGACTGTGAGTGTGACGGTGCATGCAGTGTGCATGTGGTGACTGATCATCTGACTAAATCTGAGTGTGGTTGTGACTTGTGTTGTGATGTGAATGTGAGTGAGCTGTACTATACTAGTACTACCTGTACATTGATAAGGCGTAACAAACAAAAAATATGTTGTAGGTCTACTTGTGTTGTAGTGCCCTTTTTACGACTGACCCAAAAATCTTAAATCAGCTGCGGTTGGCTTTTAATTTTAATAATTTTTTTAAAAATTGCCGTTTATTATTAGATCTAGATCTAGATCTAGATCTACATAGATCTAGATCTAGAGTCTTTAGAGAAAAAAATGTTGAATGAATAAAAAAAACATGTATTTTGGTTGTTTAAATGAGATATAGACCCTAAATTAAACTCTAGATCTAGTCTAGAATCTAGGCTAAATGCATAAAATGATCATCAAATTATTCCAGAATTCTCACTCGTCTTCGATCTTCTGTCCTACTAAGTTAGATTTGAAATCCTGTAATAGCGTAATCAAGTACTGAAGTAGACCCGTACCCTGGCCTTGTGAACATGTTGTACGGGTATAGACTACAGTGCTATGCACTGCACCAGCGAGATTTGGGCAACGTTCCAGATTTTAAGTGTTTGGGGCGACGGTCACTGTTTTGAGGGAGGAAAAAAAAAAAAAAAAGAGAAATCGACAGACCGACCCAGGTTTTGGCACCTAATTGACCTAAAGCCTAAAGGGCAATAGACTGGCAATACATCTTTTTTTTAGGCGTAAATGGTGTGATTGTGACCCTGTGAGCTGACTCAGAATGTGAGTACTACTGCTACATGTAGATCTTTAACCTAGATCTAGAGAGGTCTACTGCCTAGCCCTAGCTACATGTATACCTAGACTGTAGACAGAAAAATTTGTTTGGTTGATTGGAGGAATGTGTGTAACTTTTGTGGTGAAGCTGAAAGATTCAGTTAAGCTAGTCACTGTCCCTAAAGTGTTAGTCTTACCATGGACCTATTACGGATGGACATTCGTCGTTTTCCTAATGAATTCATTGTGATTGTCTCCGTCAATGTCGTCTCAATAACACTCCATACATGTTTCTTCACTTTGATCTCATGAGGTCCACCGACAAAAAGTATTGAAGGACATGAGCCACTTGCGCTCCCATTCCTGGATATTGGTAAGATCTTGATGTAGAGCTTCGGTGTCATCCTGGGTCTTGATGGATCGGTACAAAAGAGCATCATCGTTGATGAAGACCAAAAAGAGCAGAGGTTCGAGGACAGTGCCCTGGGGCACTCCGGAAGATACGCTTTTCGTGATGCTCTTAACTCCTTCAATTGTCACTTGTTGGGTGCGTCCTTTGAGGAAGTCATGGACCCAAGACAAGAGCTGGCCTCTGAAACCATAATGATGCAGTTTCAGGAGAAGGCGCTCATGTGTTACGCGATCAAAAGTTTTCGAAAAATCAAGCAGGATTGCATCAATTTGTTGTTTGTCCCGTAAGCCTGCGGCAAGATCTTGAACTGTGATCAGCAGTTGCGACTCACAAGAGCGTCTTCGTCTGAATCCGAATTGACATTCTGTGAGAAGGCTGTGGGTGTCAAGATGGCGCATTATCTGGCTGTGAATGATGTGCTCAGCAGTCTTACAGATAATTGAGGTAAGGGAGATTGGCCGATAGTTCTCCGGCTTGTGCTTGTCACCCTTCTTGAGGATAGGAGTTATGTATGCTGATTTCCAGTCTTGGGGAATTTTTCTTTGATGAAGGGTGGCAACGAAGAGAAGGCAGAGGATAGGGGCGAGTTCATCAGCAACCTCCTTCAACAGGTAGGCAGGAAGATTGTCTGGACCACTAGCTGTGTGCAGCTTGATTTTGGCAAGAAGTTTCCTGACCCCTTCTTTATCAACAGAGAATTCTGGAACTATGGGGTGATGGCTATCACCTAGATCAGGGAGGTTTGACAGGGTCTCATAAGTAAACACAGAGGCAAACTGTTTGCTAAGTAGGTTGGCTTTAGCGGAGGCTTTACACTGGAGGGTGCCATCCTTCAGCAAGGGTGCAACACCTGTACTATCACACCTGGTGGTTTTAATGTAGGACCAGAATCTTTGGGGTTTGCCTTCTTCATTGCTGAGCATGTTACTAATATACTTGTGGTAAGTGGATCTACACTCCCTCTGCATAGACTTTTTGATGTTTTTGTATCTTGACCAGTCTTTGGTTTTCTTTGATCTGTATGCTTTCTTGTAAGCTCTGTTCTTCCTTCTTGATAAGGCTTTGATGTAGCTGTTAATCCATGGTTGGCTAAAACGGGTCGAGGTAAACTTGGAGGGGACAAGGGTATCCAGAACTCGATGAAGCTCGGATTTCAACTTCATCCACAGAGTGTCGACGTCAGTCGAGATGGAGTTTTCCTTGGTAAAAAGAGTGCCGAAAGCACTTGTAACTACAGGATTGTGAAACCTCAAAGTTACAGTGTACGGTATATGTACACAATTTCGGGGACCGTAGGTGAATTTGTGGAGTGAGCGTGCATACACACTCAAAGGTAGAATATTTAAAACGCCTACCCAGTAGTCGGGTCTATATCAGAGCTTGACATTGGTTCAGTCCTCATTTAAATGCAGCTACAATGTATGCTAAGAATAATTTCTAATTTTCTGTTCATTTATTTTTATTTTGCAGGGAAAATATATGGATAAAATCACCATGGAGAATGACAGTGATACAAAAATGTCATCAAGTTCGATAGGTATGTATTATTGGAATGTTTATACTCACTCAAATACATTTTTTCTAATCAAATGCTAGAACATGTAAGCTGTGATGATCTCACACCATTCATTTTCACTGATGAATACTTGATCGAAACTGACCTCAGTTACTCATCCAGTACTTTTTTTAAACATGCATGTACTATTACAAGGTACATGTGTTTGTCCAACAATCTTGATTTAGTTGTTAAAGGGATATCCAACCTTGATACCACACTACTCTAAGAGGAATGCAGAACAAATCAGAGAAGTAGACTAGTGAAAGTTTTAATAAAATCTGACAAAAGATGAGAAAGTTGTAATTTTTTAAAAGTGGTAATCACTATATATGTGTGGGCTGAATTGGAAATGTCTCTGCGATGTAGTGGCAGACAACTTTCCCATTTGTTCTAACTCAAAATTATTGCAATTTCAATTGTTCAAAAATAGTGGACTCAATAGGGTCTATTCTCTTTTAGAGTACCTGTAATCAATACAATGATATGCTAACCATGATATGTTTTGAGTAATGTACCAAGGGAATTGGCACTTAAACTTAAAGGCACTAAAAACAGAAAGTAATGATATTTTGGTACATGACAAAGGGGAGAGTTATCCACATTCCACAACTACGTCCCAGTCCACTGACCAAACTGCCAATTTGAGATTCATAGACTTGAATGATCTCATGTTTTCAAACATTCTTAACTTTCTTATTATTGGTCCAATTTATTTCATACTTGCATCATTCTGTGTATGTTATTTTTCTGCTTTCTTACTTAAAATAACTTATTACAAGGGTTAGATTGCCCTTTAAACATTAACATTTTGTAAATCTATATTTCCTGTACGAATTACCCTTGTTATTGTCGTTTCCAGAACCAAACCCAAGCCCAAAATATGTACTATTTGCAGTGTCATAAACTTCTTTTAAGTTTGAAGTTTGAATCAAATAGATTTTTGCTACATGAGTTATAATAATCTTCTTCCGGGGGTTCCAATCAACAGATGCTGTTATCCTTGAGTCATTGTTTTCGAGCGTTGATGTGAATAGATTTTTGTTTTTGCATGCTTTTGTTTGACAGATGACCTAGCTTTGATCGAGAATGAAACTTTTGACTTTGACTTGCCTGTGTCACCTCAAGAATGGTAAGAATCTGCATCATTTTAATGAATGTGTGATTGAGGTTCTCTTTGTTAAACATGAGTTAGACCGAGCTGATAACATTCTAATGGGCTCCCTCTCCCCCTTCATAGCTGTAAGCTCAAGAACATACACGTATCTTCTACTGTAACTCAAGCATAATTAAATTTGATTTAGAATGTCACTTCAAAAACCCTTATCTTAGATTCACTTGTCAAATGTCATTTGCAATAAGGATTTAAAGAATGTATGGCTAGATATCAAATAAACATTAAGGCTGACATTTTCATGATTTGTAAGTTAATACAGGCTGAATTTGGATTTATCCCTAAAAAGGCCAGGCTATTTGAGGTCTTAATATGGCCGGGGGGGGGGGGGGGCAATGAAAGTCCGCCCATAACAAATTTGGTATCAAAATGAGCAGGCGACATGAGGGAAAAAAACTCATGAAATTTCAGCGCCAAAGGTTCAGGGGTTTTGATGCAGCAGCAAAAATTTGACAGGCTTATTAGGGTTCGAACCCTGCCGCAGCACTAATGTTCTTTGGCAAGACATTGATCTGCATTTGCCACACTCCACCCAGGTGATGTAAATGGGGACCGGTAGGAAGGAATTCCTTGAATGCTATGAGCACCAAAATCGGTAGCCTAGCAGAGCCGGGGTAATATTGGAGCGCTTTGAGCACCTTGCAGGGTATTATTATTATTAAAGTACTAAAAATGAAAATTGAGTTCAAGATGGTGCCTGCAGTATGATCCCATGCATGTAATTCTGTTTTTATCTAATCTCATTTATCAGTCATGGTGGCCAGTTGATAGATATCTGGGAGAAAGATGACGAGATGGTAGAGGATGAAGATGAGGTTTTCATTGGGCCGGTAGGGTTCAAAGAAAAGTGTGTGGCCACGAATGCAGAGCTGGCCATCGCAGAGCAAAAGCCCATGAGCCCCCCAACGGCAGAGCAATACGCATCTCTCTTTAAAGAGGCAATGTCTGTCTCACTTGAGCTGCAGCGTAACTCCTCCAAGAGTAGATCATCCTCCTCAAACAGTTCCGACTCGGATTCCTCGTTAACAAAGGCCAGTGGGCGGAAAACCAGCGTTGCCCCTGCATTGGACAGTATCCAGGAGAGTTCAGGTGCCATGAAAGAGAGGAAGGTAGGAGAGAAGTATGCAAGATGTGAAGCTGCTGGAGATTCAAAGTCTGAATTGGAGTGCTTCAAGCGTGAGGTGAAGAAAGAGATTCGTTGCCCTGTGCGACGCGGCACTGTCACCATAGCCACCAACGTGCCAAGTCCCTACCCTACAGCGAAAGATTGTACAAACACTGAACCAAAGAGAGATCCTCCTGCCAAGGTACTCCATCCTCGGCCTCCTGCGCAGGGTGTAAAGCCGAGAGGTAGGGGATCCATGCTACCTACCAGGGGGCTACGCAGACCAGCCCCTGTGTCTGCTAGACAGGGTGACGACTCTGCTGCTCCACATAACTATAGACCTGAGATTGGAACAACAAATCCCCAAGGTAGCACCAAGATACCAAGCAGTGGAATTCAGAAGCCTGCGGTCAAGAAATTGGTAAAATATATTATAACATTTCCTTTTCACATTCACTTTTTTTTTTTTCCTTTTTCTTCTTCAAATATTATTAGCTTTGTGTTCTTCCATTTGTCCACTTCTCCATCATGCATTTAAAGCCCCACTGCACTACTTATAGCTACTTGTGTCCTCTATACAGCCAACAATGCCTAAGCGGTACCCGTTGATCCCCCACGATGCCCTTTTTCATATGTCAATTGAGAGCTGGTTTGATGAGATAACCACCTGCCAGTGACCTTGCAGGGAGGTCTAATCCCTCCATGACAAACTAGTGCAGAGGGGCTTTAAAGGTACTATGTCCCATTTGCAGGTCAAAAAAAATGAAAAAGTTAATTTCTAACTGAATTTGAAAGATAATACTTATTTAGAACTTCCCTAAAAAAGGTGGGGCTTGAAAATGTCTTCAAGTGGGAAAATAATGACTATTAGTTGTCAAATCGACTTTAGGGCTATAGAGCCCAAAAGTAATAGTCTTGATTTTCAGACAATTGTACCAAATGGTCATACGTTTTATGCTGCGCAAAGATTCAATCAGTTTAATCTTGGCCATCACAAGAAGTGGGTTATTGATGTAGACAAATGCTCATGTACCCTTTACAACTCTTTTCATGTATGTTATTACCAAAGAAGAAAAAAAGCCAGTCAGTCACTCAATAGTGTCTGACAGTAAAGTCTAGCAAGTAAACGGGTTTTCATGCATAATTTGAATATTAGGACACTGCTAACGTTTAAATTTCACAGATAGGACATACATGACATATTCATAATTCCTGCAAAGTTCTACAGAATTTGATGTTGGCTGCAAAAGGGACATAGTATCTTTAAGACTATAAATATCATTAAGTTAAATAATAATTGAAATATGAATGAGGCATATTTTGTACCTGCAAAATAGTAATAAGTAGTTAAATTACATTTATTTTTTCAAATTTATAAACTCCTCTAACTGAACATCTCATTCAATGAAGTCAAGTTGATTGATACATTTTTGATGTAATGTATCTTTTTTCTAGGTGAACCCTAAAGTATCTGGTCTGAAGAGACCAGGTTTCACAAGCGGAAGCAAGTCAACAAATGGTGTCTCTTCAGAAGCTAAGACAGGTGAGTTTGCCTCCTTGCCCTTCAGGAGAAAACCACAGAAAAGAGGGGGGGGGGGTGAATGGTATGTATAGAGTACCGAAGCTGTGACATCATAAAAATCTATTTTTAGAATTTCTCAATTTGTTTTTCATTTTCCGAAAGAGCATAAAAAATAATGTCCAAATGTCGAAAACCAATTGAATGTGTTAAGTATTGGCTGAGGAATGACCATCTGAATAAAGAGATTTCCTATTGGGACTCGGTGTTATTTTGCTCTGGTTCGTAAAGTTACTTAACATATTCAATTGTTTTTTTTACATTTGGACATTATTTTTGATGCTCTTTCAGAAAATGAAGAAAAAAATGAGAAATTCTAAAAAATAGATTTTTGATGGCGTCACACTTAACCTCTCTATAACCCTGATGCATAACGAATATAGCAATTTGAATAACAACATATATGTAGAACTCATATTGCCTTGAAGGGATCGTGTAACAATGTTAAATCTGAGATACACGACCCTACGTGTTATCTGTGTCTTTGATATGGTGTAATATTGAAGCCCTCAAAAAATTGCGCTTCAAAATGATCAAGAAGTGCCTCAAAAAAGTAAAACATTTGATGTCTGGTTTTACCATACTCATTTTTCTCAATAGACTGTAGTGTTATGAAAACTGTTTAGCAAACAGTTTTCAAAATTCGAAATTCCAATCATAAATATCTTGATAATCAGTCATCGGATTCCTGACTGACCTAAATGTTTATAATTATCATTGCAGCATGAGCTAAATCCAGAATTTTGTTTCAGAATCTGAGACAGAGTTACCGGATCCCTTTAAATTTATATTGAATATTTGTTTGATCAGTCTCTTTTCAGTTTATGGTCATCTATTGTGTCACTTGTATGTTTACACATATATCTTAGATTCTGTGCCAGCCACCAAGCTTCCCACCAAGAAGATAGGCTTGATCAAACCCTCGGCAATTAGCAGACCAACCCATAGGAATGGAACGGCTGGACCAGCAGCAAACAAGCACCAACCCATGAAGGCAACAATGTCGTTTGGGGCGGGGGCTGCTACCAATGGAACAGGACCTTCCAAAAGGACCACCATCACACCTCAAGTTCCTAGTACCGGTAGGTCTCACTTGCTTTCTGTTGTATTAGTATAGTAGGGCTTTACACTATGAACAATATTGGCAAAGAAAGAGGACTAAATATACAGTTCCTCATTCTACCCTCCACAATTGCTGTGGTAGACAAAGGAACATCCCTTCACTGCTATTATGTAAAAATAAGTAGAACAGGTGAATATGCATGTGACACCTGTTCTACACATTTTTACATAATAGCAATGAAGGGATGTTCCTTTGTATACCACAGCAATTATTGAGGGTAGAATGAGGAACTGTATATTTTGTCCCCTTTGTTTGTCCGTCATGTTCATATAGTGTTAAGAAGTTTTTGATAAAAATTGTGAGCACATGTATTTTAATTTTTTTTTGGTACTGTTAATAAGGGAAGTGGATGAAGATATCTAGAAGAATCTACACTGCTGCTGTTTGAGATTGTCAAAACAGATGGTCAGTACATATGCGTGTGACCTAGAGGACTAGATGTCCTGTGTTTGTGTCATAAGCTATATTATATAAATATTTCGGTTTTAAAAAAAATCTGTTGTGTTTTAGAAGTGATTTGTTTTTCTGGAAAACTTATCTGGGAATCGTTCATCAATAAAAACGGGTGATACGATTTTTCACCCACATTTTCACCATATTTTTTCATTTTTAATTCACTCTGACAAATCTTGATATATAGGCAAGAGGAAAAATCCGACACCTCGTGCAGCAACACCAAGCACCCCAGTGTTCCAGGAGAAGAAGGTGGTTCCAAAGAGGTTACTTGGTAGTGGTGCTGGCGGGAACACCACACCAGCAAAAGGAGCGGTTACACCAAGGTAAAGGCAATGGTTTTTTGTTGTTGCTGGTTCCGGAGACCAACCTGTCACCTGTACCTGAGCCTGAGTGATGTCAGTTTGCAAAAAAAGAATGACAAGTTAATTTGGAGTAATAAAACAATATATTGTGCAAAATAACAGCTTATACAGTGCTGTTTTAGAGCAAGGAATCAGGTGGTTATTAAAATGCAACTGGTGAATTTGCATAAGTGGTCAGTTTTATATTTAACTTACCAAATTATGCACAACTGTCAACACCTGATGCTCAGACTTTGCCTCACAGACAGTACTGCCAAAATCATGACCTTGTGAGATATTTCATTTTAAAACAAATTTTTATAGCAACTCTAATATGAAAGGAGTGCAGTGTTTTTGTACATTTCCCAGTCCACATCCAATCTTTTGAGGCAGTAAGTATAAAAGCAAAAGTATTTAAGTACCTCATTAATTGCGATCGTATCCATTTTCAGGAGGTGTTCAATCTCAACGTTACCAAGACCATCTACTCCTGTTCAGCCCAGCACCCCACACACCAGGCACACCAGCATCACAGTACCCCTTAGCTCTGCTGGTCCTGCATCGGCTAGGCGTCGATCCGGTATCCCCACTCCTAACAGACGAGCCAGCACCTCCACCAGACCGGCTAGTAGGCTGGCAGTACCCACTGCCATATCAAGGTAATTAAGAAACCTGTGGATTTTCATTTCAAATGACTGGTTGGAATTTGAAGGGATTTGTTTTGGGGGAGGACAACCATGAAGAAGAAAATATGATTGTTATGCAAGTGTTTTTTTTTTGTTTTTTTTTTGTCTTCAAGCACAAAGAACCGAGAGGCTACCTACTACTTAAAAAAAAAACATGAATTTCTCAATTATTATACTTGAATTATTCAATAAACAGCAAAGAGTTCCAGAACCTTATCATATTTCTTGGTTCACACCTGTTCTGAATTTTAAAGAAAGATTATACTTAAAGGTATAGACCAGTTTTGGAGATGCCCCCCCCCCCCCTCTCAAAAAATTGGAATGGAAGCTCTTATTACCAATCAATGTGAAAGAATATGTTTTGACAAATACATGATGATACAAATTTTGCCGGGAAACCGCCTACTTATTGATATATTTGGTAAGTTATCATTTCGATCCGGCCTGGATAGATATCACAAAGGCAATATTTGAATAATATTGAACACATTTTTTGCACCCGTGAATCAATTTTACCACTACCTGTCTTTACCTTTAACTTTGGTTCCATCACCTTCTCAATTCCTCTCCAGACCTCAGTCAGCTCAAGCCGCCCAGAAGGAGTCTTCCAGGTTCTCCCCCCTCCTCCTCAGCCCCCTCCTGACTCCACCCCAGTTCAAGCTCTCTCCCGAGGGACCAGAACCAGAGGAGAAGGTTGCCATCAAACCATTCCATGTGGACGACAGCATCCCTCCCCCTAACGCAACCATAAGCTCCTCCCCAGAGCTTCCCACACCAGAGCTTACCTCAACAGCAACCAAGACTCCCCATCCTGATAACGTGTTGAGGACAAGGACCAATCTCCAGGAGACTGTGAAGGAGGCGGGGCCAGTGACAAAAGTGGCCACACCCAAAGAGAAGCCTTCAGTCGGGATGGTAATGATGCAATTTATCTTTCCTCCCTCATGTTAGGAAGCATGTGTAATTGACAAAAGTGAAGACAAGAATTACTGAATGCAGTCATGGCAGTGACAAACCTTTGCTTGTTTATTCGCAATGAGGGATTTTTAAAAGTATTGAATGCATTGATATTTGTTTATAGTTAGGACACCTCAGTGATGATTTTAGATGCAAATAATATCTGGCTATGTATAATCAACCAGCAAAATCCAGATCTTTGTCGCATTTTTTTCAAATTTCTCTGATGTTCAGAAGGAACAATACAATTCTCTTTAATATATATTTAGTTAATCAAATTCCATTTAATCTTAGTTTTCTGTGTCACCCGTCTTATCATGATTTATTTAGACTTCCCAATTTTTATAACCATTTTTTTAATACAATTTTTGCAATACTATCACTATCCATCAGAATTCGTTTAATCCCTCAACCTCCTAAACTCCATCTCTTTTGTTTCATTCTATAGCTCATTGATTTCGGCAGTGCTACACCGAAAGACAAGAAGGTAAGCATTAAACGTGGTCATAAGAAATTGCTTCAGCCGAACCAGTTTCTCTCTTTTTAAAGGCATCGTTTAACAATCTTTCCAGTTTTACAAATCTGAGAAGCATGGCCCTACATGTTATCAGTGTCTGTGATATAGTGTAATATTGAAGCCCTAAAAAAAATTGGCTTCAAAATGATCATGAAGTGCCTCAAAAAAGTAAAAATCTTTGAGTGACCGGTTTTACCATACTCATTTTCCCCAATACACTGTATTGTTATTAAAACAGTTCTGAAAACAGTTTTTGAAAATTCGATTTCCAATCATAAATATCTTGATAATCAGACAAGCAATTGGCTTGTAACAGTCGTGAGATTCCTGACTGACCCAAAGGTTTGTAATTATGGTTGCAGCATGAGCTAAATCCAAGATTTTGCATAGAATCTGAGGCAAATCCCTTTAAATGTTGTGTTGATTAAAGTTAATACAAAGTTTTGGTATGGGGTCATGAATTTGGTTCAAATGAACATATTGGAAGCATATGCGATCCTACAATATTCAGTGATTGTTGTCGCAGTTGAAATTGAGTCTAAAGTTATGAAATTGTAAATAATGAACTCTTTATCTTGTAAAGCTCCCTCTCAAGGTCAAGATATTAATTAAGCTATTAAACAATGTTTCTTGACTAAAATCGAGCGATTAACTATGCCCGTTCAGAAGTTATATATCACAACTACATATTCTGAGATTTTCATTGTCGTAGCTCCCATTGTACGGCCATAGGCGCTATTTGAAACTTATCAAAAAACCTGGAGCACCGGTAAATTTTTATATTTATTTTTTTCTCGAAAGCAGAAGTGTTTTAGGGGCTAAATTTTCTTGAGCTTATAATACATCCACATGGGCATCCAAATATATCAAAATTGTAAGGAATTACTATCCACCCAATTTGCAAAATTTCCCAAAACTTTGTAATACCTTTAACCCTTACTGTACTGGGCTATTTCGAGCACTCTCTGACTGGGGGGGGGGGGCCTCGGAGGCCCCCCCCCCTATGATCTCGGCCGTCAAATGTCCGATGAACGCGAAAATTTGCATGATTGTAGATATTTATGTAAGGAACAAGATGGTATAATTAGTTTTTTTCCTAATATGCAAATTTTTGTCGTTATAGCCTAATTAATTATGCAAAATGCTAATTTTATGCATTTTACAGAAAACTCTACATATTTGTCCGTAGTCTTGTGAAGAATCTTGAAAATGTATTGAATAAATGTTTCCTTCATCTCAAATTCATGAGGTTTCATTATTTTTATGATATTTGAAAATGCATAGGTTAATTTGCATAAATTATGAATACGCAAATTACGCATTCATGAATATCTAATCTGGTAATATACAGGGAACTAGAATCATTACAAAAATTGTCAGACTCCACTTTTGTTATGTTGAAACTCATTATTCATATGAAACTTCTTTTCTAACACAAAAAATAGTTATTTTATGTAATTAATAATGATAATTTATGCAAATTTGATGCGATTTTCAACTTTTTATTTTCTTATGTATTTCATTGTTTTTTATTTGTTATTATATCTATTGTTTTATTTCTAATGTATTCTTTTGTTCTGAAATACATTAAGTTACTTTGAGAAACATATAAAAGCAATTTGATATCAATTCATATCTTCACATTTCTGCTTGTACATGAATATATGCAATTATAGCACTTTTTTGATGACATGCGCATACTAATTGTTATGTAACACCTTACAGGTATATCAGATTTCGACGAAAATGGTATCAAAATGTGCGTAAGACTTGAAGGAAAAAAGTCATGAAACGACAATTCAAAATTCCGAGCGGTTGCGGCGCGATCTCCAAAAATGTCGAGGGGGGGGCCTCCCAGCCCCCCCCCCCCCCCCCCCCCAGTACAGTAAGGGTTAACATGAAAATTGATGATGTGCAAATTTGGGTACTATCACTAAATCAGCATAGGCAAGGCAAAGCTTTCCATTGTTTCTTTCCCCCATTGGTGCCTCGTGATGTTTAATAGACAAGCATTTCATGCTGGTTGAATCAATTAATCGGACACATGGTATGATGAGTTTTCTCACACCTTTCTCTCTCTCTCTCTCTCTCTCTCTCTCTCTTCTTTTTCTTTCTTTATTCTGTTCAGGGCTCGAAGACACCTAAGCAGCTGGGTCGAGCTGCAATCAAAGAGAACCTACTAATCGATTTTTGAAAGACAACATCAAGATCATCTCATCTCTAATTGACTGGTAACATTTCTCATAAACTACCCTCTGATTCATGACCATGTTCATGTTGCGCAGACTGAGCAGAAGACATGAGACCAGTCTGCGGTGATCAATCTCTCAGATGGAGACATGATGAGAGTCACAAGAGATTGGACTTGTCAAAGATTGGTGTCACGTTTCAAGGCATACAAAGAAAAATCAAGACATTGATATCACACTCTTTTGTAAATAAGAAGAGATAACACTCTCTGATAATATGGGTGTTGCAGACACAATGATTTGTACTGTCTTGATATCAAATTAAACAGTGCACAATGTGATTCATCAGTTCAGCTATGTGACAAGTGTTGAGAGATGGGAACATTACCAGTCTTAGCAATCAGACACTAATCAACATGCAAATGTTTTTATAACATTGCCCTTATTTGAGAATGATTTCAGATAATGAATTCAGATATGTTTATTTATATCATATCGCTCTTGAAATATAATAATAATTATTCCGCAATATGAACTCCACTATGGAGGGATATATGTTTTGGAAGACCAAATACATTGTGAACTATATATAAATAAATAATAAACAAGTTTACTGATCAGTTTCATCTTAAATATACTTCAGAAGTTGCTCTTGGCAAGATGAAAGCATGTCTGAAGCATTCTTGTTGTAGCATCCACTAATGTATTCAAATATTCAAATTCATGCTTTCTAGTTTTGTACTAGTGAACTAGTGCTCAGAAAGAACTTGAATTTGGATACATCAGTGTATCAGTCATATACATGTTTATCACTAATGTTTTATAAACATTGTGCATCATTATATAGTTATTAACAACCAATTTGGTCTTATATTTGTGGTTGTCCTATCCAACTGTGAGAATTCTTGAATATTTAGCCTATTACAAAGGTTCCTGACAAAAGTTAAATGTCGATATTATGTATTTAGCTTATCCATCTCAACTTTTTTCTTCAAACTCCTATTTGTAGAGGCAGCGTCTAAATTAAAGTGAGTTTGGTTCACTGCAAATATATCTGTGTATGTTGTGTCAGTGAGTAAATCCAGGTTGAGTTTGCTAGATATTATCCTCTGTATTTATCAGACTTAACAAGGAGATGAGTAAGGACAAATAAATTTGTTTTATTAAGTTTATGTAAAACTTTGTTTCTGCTCTTGAGTCTCTTGTGTATTCTTGTAGTATATATGCTTTTATGTATCTCATGACTTCCTGTCACGTATTACGCAAATATACTGTATACTGTAAACAAACATTCCTCGTGGTAACCAGAAGAAAAATATTACATGTTATGTATCAAAGAAATCTGAGTTTCAAATCAAGAATTTGTGTGTAGATGTGAGAAACTTACAATCATACTTTAAGTCTTAGTCAAATCTTTTTAGACCCATCATTTCATAACTTCATCACGGTTGAGCAATCATGCATTGCACACTTTCATATTTCATTGTATAGTAATGATGAATGCTTTATAACAGCCTTATTTTCAATCTCATGCTTTGTAGTCACCAATCTGTTGCAATCCCTGCTTTAAAGTGTCATAATGAAATTATTTCCTAATGATGTCTGGTTTGATAATTAGCCTTGCTTCATAGATATGGACATGGTAAGTAGTTTACCATCGATGCACAATGGTGACTCAAGGCTTTCACTTACTATATGTGTTTTGATGACATATTGTCTGCCTAGTGCCAGAAAGGTGTTAGCTCGGTGTCAAAAATATTTGAATTCATGATTATTTTGTTTGGCTTCTGGCTCTCAGCAAGATATCTTTTTATCTTTGCTAAATGATTTTTGTACCACAAACTGATATGTATAATTATATATATATATATATATATATATATATATATATATGGAAATTGTATATCAATATACCCCCATGTTAAGTTAGGAACAATGTATACCTTGGGTGTGAAGAGGGCCGTTAATTATTCAATTTAATCTTGATTTATTACTCATATCTTTGCATTTATAGTCTTTAAATATCTTGTACTGTTTTGGACATAAATTAATATACCTAAGACCTACATTTATGCAGAGGGTCGATGATTAATCGATTAATCTTGATTTATTACACATATCTTTGAATTTAGATTTTTTAAATATCTTGTACTGTTTTGGACATAGATTAATATACCTAAGATCTACATCTAGCCATCTTTTTTTAAGAAGTACATGTACATACTACATCATCCTGGTATATTTTGCACAGCATATTGTACTTTTTCCGCTTCACTTTCTGGTGTTCAGGCAAGGGGAAAAGGGGAATATGATGGTATACATATGTGTACAAATTTCCATGGAATTACAGTTGTGTAAAAAAAAACAAATCATGGAAAATATTAAATACATTTATATATATAGCTGGTCACTATATTCATAAATTATTTTCGTGATGGTATACCAGCTTATGTTATATGTGAATGTTACAGTGTAATCTCTCCTTTGATTCTTTGTTCCCTGAATGTTATTGTAAGTTAACTTTCTACAATTGTATTCCATTGCACATGCTTGTTGATAGACAGTGCTTTTTTCATTTGAATTCAGTGTATATGGATAGAGATATATATATTGTTAAATTAAGAATTTCTTTTCACTTTCATAGTGTTGTGAAAGGTCTCTCCTCGGTTGTAATCAGAAATTGATTACAGAGGTGTTGATAAACGAATTGTAAATGCATCTTGTTGTAAGAGAATATAAATAAATCAACAATTTGTAAATAACTGATATTGAATCAACGCTTTTTGTATAAACTGTCTTTTGTGTGAATCACAGTTATGCATATTTTCATGGCACCATTAGATGATCTAGAGCTTCTTTCCATAATATAGAAATTAGGAATTTCATTGTGCAACATGGCAGTGTTGCTATTGGGTTCAAATTGGTTAGGGTATGTGTAATATTGGGTCCAATATTAAAGTCAGGAATTCAAATAGTGTGAAAAGTAATCACAGAGAAATTCATCATCTGAAAGGACACAGTAAGAGCTATGTATTGTCAATGTCAGTAGCAGTCTTTTGCGGGAAGCCCACAAATAGTCTGAGCTGAATGTTTTGTACCACCCCATAACTAGCTTTTTCACCACAAACTAAATTCAGCATTTCATATAATGGATGCCTTTTCATGCAACTTTCCATTTTGATAAATGTTTTGTTAAATCAAGCCGGCAAAACGACACGTGTTTTGCACCCAAGTCTTCCAGAAAGATATCACATTCTGTTTGGTGCTATACGTTACACATTCCATAGTTAAAAAGTACATGTGTACCTCCCTTCCGTTGCCTTGCGTAGAGTACACCGTATGTATTTACAGTAATCACTAATTTGTTTTGGGATCCCCTATCAACAATGTTACAGACACTGGGTGCGTTCCCACTATTATCTAATCGTAGGCTATGATCACTATACCAAGTCTACAATGCTCACTGCAGAGGAAAAAGTATATTAAATCAGTGATAGATGAAATAATTGGCGGGTGGCTTTGTATGAAATAATACAAAGTTAGTTTGAAAAGACGTGTAATCATTATCGTCGACTATTTAAATGCTATTTGGGTTTACTGGACAAATTTTCTTGGCAATCTTGAAAGCTTGTAGGAGGCCTGTACAATACGAGTAGAATGTTGATGAATATGTTTGGATGGATGAATGAAACACCTTGTCCCTTAGTATAATTCATTTATTTCAGTGAATCCTGAACTTATCAATATCTTGTTCTTGTTATAAGTATGTGTATGGATGCTCCTTCCCAAATTGCCTGGTGATAAACTATTGTCTTCATATACTGGTAATTTCCGGGGGTGAATCAAGTATTAGGACATACGGGGATGTGCCGCTCTTATGGGTCACTTTTTCATAAAAAATCTCTAAACAAGGGTCCCATTTTTAACAAAAATACCATTAAAAATGGGTCCGTTTTTCAAAATTTTCAAAACTTTCGAGTTGTTGCCATGCAAACACCCGTAAATTGTGGGAAATGGGTCTTTTTTTCGAGTAAACTGCGCCAATATGACCCCTAATAATGGGTAGGGGTTTTGAGGCTTGAGCGACACACCCCGTCCGAACCAAATTTGAGTATCCCCCCCCCCCCCCCCCCCGGGCTCGGGGGTCATTTAATGACATCTTGCTCCCGTGTGGGAAACTATTCTTACCCCGTATACAAGAGTGCAATGGATATTAAAGTCCACGGCCTGTAAAAGAACAACTATGCTTCCAGAGTTCCAGTGTAATACATTATGTCAGGGCCCGTCTGATAAAGAGTTGTGATTTATCCAAATCAATCGCAAGTTTGCAGTCTCCTATCTGTTATATACATTTAACAACTAAATCATTCATACCCTTACCAAGTTTTTTAATTTCTTAAGTTTGTGAAAAATCGATTTGTATGAAAGTATTCAACAACAGCCCTAATTCAACCGATCCACCTTCATTGTCGAGTTACGAAAAACACAAAAAACACCAAATTATCAAGGGATGGGAATAATTTAGTTGTTAACTGTACATAGTTGCGATTGATACCAATTAATTGGAACTGTTTATATGACTGGGCGCATACCTAACTCGGTATTAAGCAGCCTTTATACATCGGCTTAAGTAGCAGTGTGAACATAACCATATCTGATGAAGCTCATTTGAAGCAGCCCTAGCCTTTCATAGCTCAGCTTGACATGTACATTCCATTCCAAATGCCAAACCCAATCGTAGCTAGCTTGCTATACTGGTATAGTACATACACGCCCTGGACTATGATAACCATTGCATAAATATAAGTTGGGGTCCAGATTGGTATTGGGGGGAGGGGGGGGGGGGTAATACATCTCCGAAGTAACGATTCTTGGACAGTTGGAGAAGAAAATCATACTCTGGGGAGACGTTGGGAATGAAGGAAGTAATAAAAAGACTTGTTGGTTTTATCTTAATCAATTTTGAAATACAAGATAATAAGAGAAGGGATACGGACTGCGCTGTATCGACATCTACTGTAGATAGCCATAAGTATGTATTCTCTCTCCCTCTGTCTCTCTGTCTCTCTCTCTCTCTCTCTCTCTCTCTCTTTTCTCTCTCTCTCTCTCTCTCTCTCTGTCTGTCTGTCTCTCTCTGTCTCTCTCTCTCTCTCTCTCTCTCTCTCTCTCTCTCTCTCTCTCTCTCCCCTCTCTCTATCTCTCCCCCTTTCTCTATCTCTCCCCTCTCTCTCTCTCCGACTCTCATTTGTCCCTGAGATTTTCTTCATTCCTTTAATTTTCAGAAGTTTCAGAAGATTATGAACTCTGTGGTCTATATTGCAGTCCCAAACCGTCTTTTTCACAAACTACTACACTAAAATATTGAATTGTCTTCAATCACTGGCTATGATCCTAAAAGCCCACTCCTCCCTTGATCTATTTACAAGCATGTTAAAGTTCCGTTAATTTGCGACTATCCCCTTCCCTTCTCTTCCTAAAGAATGGTCGAAGCATGCCCTTTCACTTTACTCTTCCATGAGAGTTGTAAGTAGTGTATTTATTGTCTCTTTCATTCACTCGTACCATACCCCCTTCACCATCCCGCTTTAGACCTTCACCTCTCCGTTTAATGTCATCCGTACTACGTGCATTCTTTGTTAGCGTGGAATGCATGCATGCTCGGTCCGGTCTTCCGTTTAGTTTTAAGGGCCGCGTCGTTATACTGAGGGGGCTCTCGGTTTCGACCAAGGGCGGAGAAATGAAAATGATGTTAATGCCGTTTCCCTTTTCCATGATTAATTACTAGTACCCCATTTATTATGAGACTGGGTAGTACATACACAAAGTCTTAGGTTTTATAAATGAGTTACCTTTTTCATTTATTCTCATACCAAGTACGAAACGTATATTGTTGTTGTTAAGAATTATTACATCTGTCTTCGCCTTAAATAATTGTCAATATAATTTATAATGTTCCATATCAAAATTCCTAATGCTAATGTTTCAGATGTTAATGCGATTCATAATCCCAATTTAGGTCCTATTCAGGCATCATTCATGCTATCTTATCTCCATGTATTGTATTTCAAAATAGATGTAGTTTCCAATGTTTGATGAATTTATAATTATAAATAAAAAATGTGTAAAATCGCTTCCAGTAGTTCTAAATGCTTATTCTTCTTTGTCTCTGTGGTAGCCCTTTTCTTGTTTGTTTTTTGGAGGTTCTTTCGCTTCCTCATCATGTCGTGTTATCGAAAATATTTGGTGATAATAGGCCTAACACATCCTACACACGTATCCACACTGATTATACTTTATCTTCACCGTGTGCGATCATGAGGGTTTGGAGATGTAACATTCCATACCTCAAGAACAGATACCCTGAACAAATAGCACCCCCAAGAGCGTGTTGAATGATGATTACAAGATTGAAGGAGGAGGAGGAGGAGAGGAGAGGGGTGCTTCTTACAGAGTATGCGCCTTGTTGTGATAATTAATACCGTCCGAAGATGAATGTGTATACAACGTCGTGAGCATTTTTATTCCACCATTATTTTTTAGTATTCTTAATAGGTATAATATGGTATTATGGGCCCATTTTAGACCCACAATATCCTATAAATATTAAACAAAATTTTTCAAATTGAAAGAGATAACTTTACATTCTAAAGTATTATGTAACTGAAATTATTCTCTCTCTTAGTAAGTATAAATTGAAACCATAATTTATTATCTTTACACTTTTGGATATTATTTCATTTAATATTCCCCACCATACACATTTTCATATCTGACCATCATTTAGATTTTTCAACATAATTATCTTAAGATGTTAGACACATATGAAAAAGGAACTGAATTGCCTTAATATATTGAAAGGTCGGTAACATGCTAAAAAGAACGTCCTCAATATTAAGAATTATTCGCATTTTTTATTTTTAAATATCCTAAATCTAAAAGAAACTTGCTGAGAACAATATCAATTATTTTAATGGATTTTGCCGCCGCCCCCCCCCCCCACCAAATAAAAGAAAGACATAATATCCTCCTCCTTTTGCCCTAGTGTACTCTTTTGTTTCCTTTAGGAGAATGACGCAATGGGTGATATTATTGTAGCATCACGTCATGGCATCATAGAGCTCATCGGTCTATTGGTTCATCTTGACGGCGTGCACATGACTATTCTAGAACGGCACTCTTCGAATTGTTTGTAATGATGAGCAGACTGCCATTAGAGGTGGGGAAACTTGTGTAACCCCCCCCCCCCCCCCCCCCCCCCACTCCCCTCCCTTCCTTAACTCAAGTGTGCCGAATTGTCTATCATGCCGATAAAATAAGATGTCACCCAAGGGAGAGAGAGGAATAGAGAGAGAAAGAGAGAGAGTGAGGGGGAAGAGAAAAGAGAGACAGAGAGAGAGGGAGGGAGAGGGGGAGGACGGGTGATTTGAAAATTTGTCAGGGGGGGGGGGCAAAATGCGAAATGTGAAAAAGAAAATTGCAAACTTCTTAGTATGAAAATGGCCAAACTCGATCAATTTATTTTATCAATTATAGGGGGCTAAAAAGAAAAATGACGATTCTTTTTTTAATTCCCCCCCCCCCCCCCCAACACAAATGATCATGCTCTAACTTTTCTGCTTTTATCCAAAAGAATGAATAATCATGAAATGACAATGCACTGTACACCTTCAGAAGCTTTTAGGTGTCTTTTAAAAAAATCTGTAATTGCATGTATAACTTGGTCTATAGATGGATTTCCATTTCATATAGTCTTAACAGGCTCTTAGCATTTGTGATGCAAAGACAAAGGAGTTTGCAAAGTAGAGGAGATAAAGTTACTGTAGAGTAATGCCAATGATACATATTTCATATTCTTTAATTTATATACTCATGACCCCCCCCCCCTCTCTCTTTCTCTCTTTCTCTTATTAAAATACCCCCTCTATATTTATACCGTATTATTTTCAACTTTACTCAACATCGAAATCCCTAATAGACTTATAATAGTTAGTTGTTTGTTATATTACAACTCATATTCGATGCAGATTGCTCAATGGCTATCGACATCCACTCTTCCAATCCATACCCTGCTGATAATACTGCAGCAAGCTGTCAATCGATCAGTTAAGTGCTTTTATAAGAATACGATGCTCCTCTCCAGAGTCACAATGTCGAAGCTGTACAAACATATCCCAATTTTACAGCCGCGTAACTAGGGGTATAGTGAGATACTGAATATGTGTTCTGAGCACATTTTGATCTGGTCAATATCCTATTTTAGAAGATGATGACGCGGATCCTAATCAAATGATTGGTTAAGAGCGTACACGTGACTTGGCGTTTATTTTGCCTAACACGTAATTTTGATAATGACCGGTCATTAGTAAAATCATGTTATAAAACGTCATTTTATACAACAAATAAAACAGTACCTTATAAAACAAATAATACACATAATTTTGTTCGGGCATTGGTGAAATTACCCACACTCGGTACCTTCAAAACAGTCCAAAAACCCTCACTGTTGTGTATTATTTGCATACTAGTAACACCCTGTACCCGAGATAGTCTGTTCTCTCTTTCTCTCCTCCTTGAGAATTCCTTTTACTAAATGGACATTAATTTAAGATTATCATGCGGTAATTTTCCAAAACCGGCCATAGTGATATTCACCCCGCGACAATCCAAGCACTGTGTGTAGGCTTACATTCTTTCTTCATAATTCATTGCCCGTGCATTTCAACCGCGTTATAATTACTTCAATTATTCAAGTTCATCACATGCTCGGATTGATGATGCTGTTCTCCTGACCTTTCCAGCTAAATCTACACTGCCCTCTCCCCTATCATGGCCCCATTCTCATCACCATCACTACGTCACTCCAATATGTGTCATCACTTGGCCATGGCACCTTCTATCAATCTACCATCTACTACAAAACGACAACAATAATCCATGCAGGCAGGGAGATATATGTTTCTGATTTGTGGTCTATACTAAGGTATATGATTCACACGGGAATGGTCACCGGTAGCTTGTAACCAGCAGATGGTAAAGACGATACACGCCGCTTTCATTAAGTCCTAGCAGGAAAGACAAAAAATTCAGGTACATGCATTTTTGCAATGGGTCTTCAAAGCTATAGCCAGATAATATTTGCCTCCCCCTCCCGAGTCTGGTGGGTTTTAAATTCTTTTATTGAAATATCAGAACATTATTTACAAAATAAAACAAACTTACAAACCAAAATAGGATTGGTCAATCTCAACGAATGTCATTATGTGCTTTTTTTTTTAAATCGCTAAATCCGTCTGAATAAGTTTTTGACACACACACAAAAATCAAAAACGTTTTCTTTCCTTTCTCAATATTATATTCGATATCATGTCAGTCCAGAATTATGCACAAAATAAAATTGTCAACTAACTTTCTCAAGAGCTTTGTTGAATAAGCATTTATCTAACGACGATATTGTAATGGGCTTTGACCAATGCTTTTCAGAGTGTATTGTTACCATCATTTTGGTTTGATGCTTACACAGAGGAGATCACAGTCTATGAAATCTGTTGAAACACTGCATACGGAGTTACACAGGAGTTGTTTATTTTGTTATCATTGTCAAACATGGAAGCATTAAGTTACAAACATTGTATTTGAAATTCTATAGCAACAAAATTATCATAAATGTCTTTCTAGTTTCATGTTTCACCCCTCCCTCATTATGATGTGTACTTCAGAACAAATTAAAGTTTGCAAACATAATTCTTATTTTAAAAGCAATAAACTGAAGATTATTAGATCACTAAGAATTCATTACCATGGTGAGACACATTAGTTAAAATAAAATATGATAACTACAATCACCACGTCATCTTAAATTGTTTTAAATTCGCATGAGCTTTCTTCCTCGTGTTTGTAATAATTTAGAAATGTTTATTAATTTATTCCAAAATGACTTGATTAGAGCTACACAATATCAAAGACAGACTCTACATATTGCAAAATAAATACTGGTACATGTATCAAACTTACATTTTTTACATTTATGTGTATTCTGTAGAAAACAAATCTTTTTTCACTTTCAAAATTAAGGCACCTCTTGATATACACATCTAAATACATGTACACATTACGTTTCCTCTCCTTTTTTGTTTTCTGTCAGTCTTTTTCTTTTATATAGGAGTAATTTCATCACATTTCATCAAATTACTATGAATTTACACACCAGTCTCCTAACAATCATGATCCATCAAATTGTTACATGATGACACAATTTATACCTAGCCAATGTACAAACAGAAAGACATGAATTTCATTGTCATTTGTCATTTTCCTAGTTATCTTCTTTTTTTTATATAGATCATAAAACCTATTATCTACATTGGAACGTCTTTAATATTCACGATTTACTTACTGCGAGAAAGTATAATTCAAGAAACACCATATATAAATAGTATAGAGAATCAACTATCACCTACCAGTAGAACAATAACCTAGTACAGATAATCATTATTACGTACTCTACAAGTAGTTATATCTTTTTCTTTCATTTTCAAAAAGCAGCTTTAATAAACCAATACCATTACATGGTTAAAAAATAACAATAAAACAGTTGCGTATGTAAACAGAAACGTGTACGAAACCGGACAATATTATTATGCAGAAGAATAGGAATCAGAGATCACAGAATTCGGTGGAACAGAAAACCTTAAAATGTGAAAGGATATAACCAGATGATGAAAAAAATTAAAGTTGTAGATAAATACGTAAAAACAGCAAAAACATTTCAAAAAACGAAGAAGAAAAATTGCGATCATAATATATAGTTGAATAGAGTGTAAACTACTTAGTATATCATCACATCCTTATCAGATAGCGAAACATAAAGGTTGTACAGTTAATACCTATAACCATCAAAGTACTTTCGACGACAAAATGGACGAATTTACAAAGCATTTGCCAAAAACTTAAATCTTACCCCAACAAATTCTTGAAAAGAGCCAGCCCTTTTCAGGAGTAAGGAGTAGAGCTTCCCGTTTGTACGTGTTTTCTACAGGATTATTAAGAGATAAACTGAATGCCAAGAGAAAACAATTCTACACCAGATTATATTGTTCAATCTCTTCCAGCATAATAGCTTTTCCGTTTGTCTTGGTCTATTGATGTTGCCACATTCACATCCGTTCCCCTCTTTACAATATGTACCTCTTTTTTTAACGGTTATTTCATATAGGTTTACACGTGACTTTGCTAGCAGCTTTAGAACTTTGATAATGGTCATTTTCTACCATCCCTACGATCGACTTAGCATTATACTCCTTCTCATTATAGCACAGTTATCAAAAACCTTCCTAAAATCGGTTCTTTTGTAATTTCGTATCAATATCTTACAAAACCAGGAATTTCGATAAAATTGCACAGACCTCATCCATCCATTTACTTTACAACTAATATCGTATGTACACTTCCTTTATATTGCTAACCTCCTTTTATACATGCTTAAAACTTCCCAATATTCAAATTTGTTTGCCTATTTTATTGTTCTTGCTATCGTTGCTATTAATTCAATTAAACGTTACAATAGTTCTATTTTATTACATAATTACAAGTTCTCATTCCTCGGTAAACTATTCAATTGTACATTATTTGTAGGCCTATATTCAAAGGAGCGTTTAGTATGGCACTAACGCACTATACAATCACACATCTTTAAGGAATAAATATAAGGCTCGTTACCACATTACAATCATTCAAATTATACAAGCAAAATGGATGAAATACAAATCCATCATATTCTTAATGTACAATACTTTTGAAGAAGACTTATTTGTCCTCAATATCAAAATGAAAAACACACTTTATATCACATAGTAGCACAATTCAATGTTTGTTTTTGTTTTGTTTTGGGGTAAATAACTTATGAAAGTATGTAATACACTGCATCGCAGTAAACTAAGGAGGCCGACAACAGACCAACAATAAACCAAAAAAACAAAAAACATCACCTCCACTGGCCAAAGTTTTTGTTGGTAATCGGTCGGTTTTGCGTCCGCTTGGCTGTGTGACATGGGATTTAGGACTTTCACATTTATGAACACAAAACTTTGTTCATAATGCAAAGCCGCTCCATACTTTCCACAAAGTATGAAAGGTGTCTAGAATATAGTGATTGTTTTGATCGAAATATAATTATGATCAATTTTACGCGACTCTCTCTGCTTGACTTGTTGATGTTAAGAGATCAAGCAAACCGTCTAACCACTGATTCTTATTTTGCAAGATTCTTTTTGGATTTCTGTTCATGTTTAGGTTGACGAATCCGATATCCTACAGATCGTGTTTTTTTTTTCGATAACAATTTTTGCTCAAAATAAAACGGACAACCATCAGTTTCGTCTTTATATTCGTATATATAAATGTTAGTGATATGAGTTTCGTTGAGTTGAGATAATGATTGAAGACATTCAAAATTATTCAAAAACGGACAAGCCAGGAGCTAACTATCCTTGTGGCTTCTTGAAGTTCATTAACCACGTCAAACTTCCACGGTCCGTGCGTACCGTGAATGGCTAGCTTCCGATTTTAGTTGATACTAAATACAAGTTTGAAGGTTCGTATGGTTGATTATACGAAAAGTATGTCACAAGGCACATTAGCAAGTTGAAATCAGAACGTTGGAATGCCAATCTTATTGCTGAAAATTTAGATCATTGTTTTTTTTTACACCTCTATCTTAACTATTTACTACTTTCGTTTAAACGACCCATTAATAACTGGAGAAGAAATCTTCGCATTCTTATAGAGCCAATTCCAAAGCAACCGAGGTGATGTTGTTTTTATGCCATAATTGATCGCTAGAAGAATTACCCATTTGAATACATAGCCCCTAGCATGGGCTACATTACAATCAACATAAATGTTCACCCTAACTTCATAAGTATATTTTTGACCATTTTAGGAGCACTGGTAACAGACATACCGTTTGCATTTACTTTTGTTTTCGTCATGATAGTTACGTTATCTTTATATTTGGTTTGATCTCCGGCTAACCACGAGAGATAGCCGTGGCAAAACATGGATAACGAACCACGAAGCTCAGGGCAATATCATGCAACCAAAAGCATATCATTCTGATGTTTAACAGTACATTTTCTTTAGATGTTGTCAAGATGTCATTTCACAATGAGCATGTGTACATTGAGCTCTTTCCCCAATATTCATAAATTCACATGATAATATACCTCACTTTGGATTAATGACGAACCGCATTCCTTGTCCCGGTGTCACCTTGATCGGGGCTCCATCTCCGAACCTGATGGTGGTCACCCCAGAGCTGCCTGGTGTTTGGACCTGCTGGACCTGCTGTTGGACCTGTTGAGGAGGACCAGGCTGTTGTATTATCTGGCGCTGATAGGTCGGGTTTCCTTGATAGGTTGGGTTTCCTTGATGGATCGGAATTGAGATGCTATCACTTTGTAATTGAATGTGAGGACTAGAATAGCCCGGCTGTGAGTAGCTTTGCTGCTGTTGATAGACCTCCTGTGGATATCTGGTTTGTTGAGTGTAGCCTTGCTGCGGGTAGATCTGCTGTTGATATCCCACTTGTTGCTGCATCTGTGGCTGCATCTGTGGCTGCATCTGTTGCTGCATCTGTTGCTCCGGTCGCACCTGGAACTGGAGATTTCCTGAATCCTGTCTTTTGATAACTATGTGCTGACCATGCCTCTGAGGTGCTTGGTTTGACTGCTGTTGAATGATGACATGTTGGCCTTCCACGGGTGGAGATCCCATTGGAGAACCCATGGAGTTTTGTCGTTGTATGACCTGGACACGGCTCTGTTGTTGAGGCTGGACGGGTTGGACAGGCTGGACCGGTGAGGGTGTGATACCGGGTGACATGCGAATCACTCTGACATTGCTTGCCACATTTGAAGAAGGCTGACTATGCTGTTGTACCAACCCAGGATTGGACTTCCGATGGCAACTGGGACACGAACTATCTCCACCAGCGGTAGCTCCACCGCTGGTTAGCCTGATGGTGGCTGGCTGCTGCTGTTGGGACTGCTGTTGCTGAAATTGTGGCAGGAAAACTTGCATGGGAACGGGTGTTCGCTTGCTGAGTCGGATGATTCCTTCAGGACTCACCTGGATCTGGTGTTCGTGGCCTATCTCTCCTGCTGACAGACTAACCGGTGGTGACTCTGTGGATCCGACCCTCAGGACGGTCTTGCCAAGTAATGGTCTCCCCACTGGCTGTGACATTGGTGGTGGGTTATCGAAGGTAGGCTTGGTCCCTGGTGAGGTTGGAGTAAAGATCATAGACCCATCTGGAGTAGATGGTGCATTATTACTACTTGCAGCCCTAACCTTGAATGTAATGGTCTTTCCTGCTTTGTATGCCTCTGGAGCAAGCTTGGGATCTGGTGTCAGAGTGATTCTACCATTCTTATCAACGTAAGACAATGGAATTTCGATTGGCTGTTGCTGAGGAAGGAAATTTGATCTCTTTTTGATAGTTTCCCCATCTTTAAATTCTGCCTCAGGGTCAAGCAATACTATTGCTGTTTTCGAGACGTGCCTGCTTTTTTGCTTGCTGGATTCGGTGTTATCTTCACTTTTCTTCCTAGATTTTTCTGCAGATTTTTCTGACCTTGCCACAGCCCCGAGTGCCACGGCTTCCGATAAGCTAACTTCTTGCTTTTGTACCTTGTCCTTTTTTTCTTTTCGTTCTGGCTTTCCTGGTTCTTTTGATTTTTCTGGTTTGGCTTTCGTTGCAGCTGATGGAGCTGGCTTCCTGGCGGGCTTTGGAGCTGGTTTTGGCGGGCCACCTGTAGCCCCATTGGCAGATGCTTTTGGTTTGCTGTCTCGTTTGGCCTCCGGGAGGGCGTCGGTTTTACTTGGACTTTCACATCCTAGAGGACTCATCCTCTTGACTGGCATTTTTTGCACCTCGTCGACATCTTCCTCTAGAGGTGAGCTGCTCTCTGAATGACTGCATTCCTGATGGAAAAACGGGCTGAGACGAGCGTGAAGAGGAGCTCTCTTAGATCGGTAACGGTCATCTTCATAATCACTGCACTCTGAGCTATCACTGTCGTACTCTGTTGTCTCAGCAGAACTAGGCCGACGGATAGTCCATGGGATGCCTTGGTACGAAGCAATCGATGAACAACAAAGACAGTTTCCACTGCATTCACTCTCACTCAGTGTATCCTCCTCAGAATTATCCTCCGCATCTCCATCCATGCCGCTCAATGGCGCATCAGGATTTCTCGTCGTGGTGGTGGTTATATCCGACGATACATCGTTGGCATTGCTGTCTCTAGACTTATTGTTCATACCGGGGACGTTGTTTTGGCCTCGCTGGTTATTATACCCCTTGCCTCTATTTAAATTCTTGGCAGGTTGATCGCGTCCGTTCTGTGCAGCTTTCTTGCGCTGCAGGTTGGCGATCTGTCCCTTTGGTAGTGGTCCCATCCTGCCTGACATACTCGACTCGTCAGCGTCCAAGTCTGTCATCTGGTTGACGTCATCCTCCGTATCGACGCAGCTGCGGTCACGCATGTTCTCATCCCCGCTGTCTTCGGCATCTCCCTCATCACTCACTCGGTCCTCGTCCTTCACCTTTTGGAAGTTTCTGTACATTGATGCCATCTGCCTGGAAATCTCGTCACCACTATCCCGAAGATTTGTCTGCAGAAGGAAATAAAATGGAGAATAAAAAAAAAATCAAGTGTTATAATGACTTAGAGGGTTAAGAGTTTATAAGAGCATCATCATTATTAAACAAAAACATGTTTACCGTTAGAAAATCTTTTGTTTACGAGTATCTGTCTGCTAATAGTTTTTTTAAAGAAGGAAATTAACAATAAGAGAAAGGACGACAAACTAACGTCCAATGTATCTTTACAACTTTAAATGGGGAGGGGGGTTCATTGATATTCACAACACTATGGGCATGTGAATGTAACAAGTTGCATCGTCTACATTTGCCTGTCTCAAAGCTCTATTATGATTGATTTCACGAAGGGACACCACATGCTGTGGTTTAACACTCAGCTGAATACATGAACCAGTCAGTATCAAAAGGTCGCTCGCAGGGGAAATCATGTCGAGTTAATATCCGCAGCGGGATTTCACACGCGATGTAAGAAGACGGGACTATAAAAAAAAAACTATAACCGAGGTCTGTCAGATTATTTTAGCTTCTCCGTATTCCAATTACCCCCCCCCCCCCCTCCCCCTCTGTCTCTGTATGTCTTTCTGTCTGTCTGTCTGTCTCTCTCTCTGCCTCTCTGTATATTCCTCTCTTAGTCGATGTCCACAAGCTTCAGCACATTATCATACCGTACAGAGTACCGTGGTTCGTTTTGTTCACGAATAATTCAAACGGAAAGCTGTTTATAGCACAAGAAACATCCACGAATCTAATTGAGAACTTCAAGTCGAGATTCATTTTCACAATTCGATCATGGAATAATGGGGACAGTCCGGTTTAATCGTACAAGAAATGAAATATGAGAGTGATCTTTGCAAAATCTTAACAATCATGAGCAACCCACACGCAGCTTAACTATAATTAAATCATTTACAGTGGTGCCATCAATATATTTCTTTCGAAATAACAAAGATGAAAATTGAATTTAAGAAAGCTGCATGCCTAGCATACAATATAAACGGTTGAAAGATAATATCTGTTTTTGCAAAATATATTCATGGAATATATTATTTTTCTCTAAAGCAATATTTTTTGAAAAGTTTATTGGTTCAATAAAGCAGGAGCACACTAATTATTCCTGGAAAAGTCTCAAAGTCAGGCCACTATATTTTATATCTGACGTTCAAGAAATCATGTATTTTTCTTTGGAAACATCTCAAATATAGAGAAAATTCGAGCAGTAACAAGCCCGACGCCGGTCATTTTCGATGAGTGATTGCGAACATGCCATAGTGACACCTAGAATGGAATGGTAGTACTTGGTCACTCGGAGGGTGAGTGGACGTGACGTCACAATAGTCCCGAAGTGATAATCATCATCAGCTACCAGTGAGTCTTGCCAGAAGGTACGATGACAAATGGGTGCAACGGACCTTCTCCAATTCCACTCTACAAGAGTTTACATTCCTCTTCCGTGAAGTGTATGGTCCTCTGTACTTTCTTTTACCACCATGGCCAGTCTGTAGCTCGTATTGTTTTGCACTTTGTAAGATGGCCATATCTTGCATTCCTTGCCCGCCATGCAATTTCATTCGCTCCTTCCATTTCTACTTCCGCTTTCCCTCCCAGATCGATTCTTTCTCTTTCTCGATCTTTCCATCCCGTATAATACTCTCTAAAAGCGAACCATCTTAATATTTGTTAAACTTAAAGTAAAGACTTGAATTATTGATTTCCCTGTTTCCTGCTTTTCCTAGAAAACTCGTACACACTTTAAAGGTATAGAACGATGAAGAGAGTGTGTGGTTTATCTTTGAAGTGCATATATAAACCTCCCAACGGCAATAGAGGTATAAACATTCACGAATACCCAACTTTCAATTTCCAATCATCGAGACAGATTCCATTCACATTCATTTGTAACCCTCAACTGCATAATGATGTCACAATAATCTCGTCGCTGTGGTACCTGTCATGACGTTTATGATTAGGTGAGATAGCTCGCCATGTTTGCCATACCTTGTCAAGACAGGTGAGAAACAATCCTAATTAAAACATCACTAGGGGGCCAGTGTAGATTCAGAGAACCATTGAGTAGGACGATCGAGAATGCAAGTCATGACATCAATTCAAAGTCGTCACCACTCACGGCAAACCTTACTTCATATCAACGGTGCAGAGACGTTTTGATAAGACTGGCGAAAAAAGGGGTTAGGGTCAAATTCCATTATTATCTATTATCACCCGTGTGTCTTAAACCATCCGGAAAGTATCATCGTCAATCAGGAACATTGTCATGAAGCTCTGGAAGCGTCTTCATCGTTCAGATTAATGAGAATACCCTGACAACGTTCCGGAGGACACACACAATATATTTCGAAATTAGCATTGATTGGATATTAGCTTCTATCAAGTAATAATATATTTGTGGTATTAGAACACTGTTTTGTTGGGATTCTGGTTATTCAGGCTGTTAACATTAAGAGCTGATTTGATTTGATTTGATAAATAACCATGATTTTGAAATTATTTTCCCGTTAAAATCTTATCACTGATGAGCAGTCAAACTATATCGCATCAATATCAAGTATCACCAGAAGCAGCAGTAGATGTAGACTTCTTCATAGTGTTGCATATACATGTATTACCATTAGCGTTTATAGCTACTCTCCAACACAGTAGGAGTCTACGCCTGTGTTTCTGACGTGCTTATAAATAATCTCATTTAAGATAATATCAAACAATTTCCAGCCCCAAAAAGATGGATGATTACTGCAATTTGTGCTGCGTATTTCAATTTGTGCCGCGTATAGCAAACAAGGGGAAACAGTGATATCAAATACGTCAAGGGGAACTCGTTGAGTTGCATCCTTGTTATAATCTAGCCTTTATACAACATGTTTATAGCGGGCGGGAACTCAATCTCTGCTCGTTCCTGCACATGCGAATCATTTATCAACGTCTTCTTTTCATCATAGTAATACTATACAGGTGATACATGAATTTACCGGCTCGGGTAGCTGAAAGCATTGCACATACCGTCATGTTCAAAAGCTTAGTCGTGCTTAACATGAAACATGCGGGCAATTCAGTAGGGGCCGCTGCAGGGGAAATGAGGGATGATCCCTGCACGGGGCAAGGACTACTTTGCATCAGAAAACGAGACTTTTAGGCGATTTAGGGAAGGATTTCCACTTAAGATGATCATAAAATAAGACACGTTAAGATGATCTCAGGACAAAACTGTACATTGTTTTCATTGACGCACTTGACACATTCGTTACACATCTTCTCAAACGTCACTTTTTCCAAGGATGACGAAGGGATGTTACAGGTCTTTATTTAAAACGATATGACGTAAACCTTTCCAAAGATCTGGTTATAGGCTCCACTGCTCGAGAATATTAAAGAAGACAAAATACTGGGTGAAATAACAACCATCAAATATGATCATGCAGATCGTCGATATTTAAAGCATCTATAGTTCCACAACGCGTTTTCTTCTTCTGGCAAACAGACACTGACAATAAGCGTTACTTGCCGTTTATCAATAAAACATTTTGATATGGATAATACAAACATGTACACGTATGCATAATTCAACCACATGATAAGATGTATATAGAAGTATATAATGTAAATCCTTAAGTATGGAATTTAGGGATATCATCAGAAATATCGAATCACCTACATTCATAAGGAATATTCCTTCCTTCAATGCATGATACAACAGATTCTGAACAATACTAGCGCCTGAATAAACACCATCAACAATGTCAACACTTTTGTGTATGTATAATCGAAATATTCTTCGCCTTTTTGAATCACTGAAATGCTTGTTGTCCAATACAATTCGGGTGGACGGCTATCTCAACATTGTCCAATACTAACTATGATAACAAACGCATTTTGTGTACGTTGTCCACAAGGTCAATAGACAATAATTATTTTTTCACTAAATACTTCAAAATTCAATCAGCGCTAACAAGGTTGACCATAATGACGTCATTGGCGGTCCCATTTCCACAGAGCTATGAAAACATGGAATCTTTAAAAATGCTGCATTCCAAAATTGCTAGAAAGCTGACACTAAATTGCTTGAATACATGCAAGTGCACAATAGGTACAAGGATTTAAACGTTACTTAATTAATGACGCACGGATGTAAAAGTATGATGTCAAAGCATTTTTTTTCTAAACGCTAATACCAAAAAGATATTTCGTATCATCCCCCCCCCCCACCCCTCTCTCTCTCTCTCTCTCTCTCTCTTTCCCTCTCTTCTGTTTTCTTACCCTTCCCTCTCCCTCTCCACATCTTCGGCATACTCATCTATTTATTTATCCCTCTTTTTATTCGTCCCCCCCCCCATTCCTTCCTACCTTTCATTTCCTAGAATGATTCACACACATTTATGCTTCTCAATAATTATCTGCTTGGAAACAGCTGACGAGGACCAATGACAAATTATCCAATCACCCTAAATTAAGGTCCATGTCGAACAAGCAACGACTTCTTGACGTTGATCGATGTCATATGCCAAGGAATATCGAATATGATCTCTTGTGGGGGGATGGGGTATAGACTACAGGGTATCTCATGAAATCAAGACATGTGTGTCGATTCGTAGCTGAATAGGACTATATCAGCAGAGTACATGTAGAAATGGTCGCGGATGTGAGGAGTACTATTAAGAGAACAATTTATTAATACCTAGTACAGTCGAACTACTACTGTTGCTGCGACTGCTGCGGCTCCTTACAGTACTCGTATTAAAACCACTACTAAATCAATAGCATAATAAGTAAAACCTAAATAAAGTGCTATATAAGACCGAGTAGTAATTTAAGTGGTGGGAGCAGTAGCAATATACAGTAATATTCCAAAAACATACATTTTAATGATATTAACTGAAATAAGTACCTCAAAACTGAAGTTTGCCTATAGCAAAATGCGAAGGGTGTGAAACTTCCCACAACCTTTTGGTAGGGTCTTGTAATAGTGTCATTGACAATTAACCACTCTGAGTTGAAAATA